GTAAAATTAATTTTAAAAATTCAAGGAGAATGATAAAACTGAAGAGGATGAAATTCTAGGCTAGCACTGTCCATTAGATATATATGCAAGACACATGTAATTTACAATTTCTAGAAGCTACATTTTTGAAAAAGTTAAAGTAGGTAATATCAGTTTTATAATTTTTTTAACTTAACCAGTATTATTCCCATGTGTAATCAATAAAAATTAAGATATTTACCTTTCTTTATAGGCTCAGTTATCTCATCTACAAAATGTTAATATTCCATAGGTTCATGTGGAAGAAGAAATTGTGAAAATGCACATGAAGCCCACAGTGTTCCTTTCCTATTGTTACTATAAGAAATGACTGGTCTTGGTGATTTCAAACAGGTTAATTTTTGTACAGTTCTGGGAATAAGAAATCCAAAATGATGGGAAAACCCAAAGGTGGCAGCACAGCTGTGCTCTTTTGGGAGCGTCCTGGGGACAACTCCCACTTGCTGTCTTTTCCAGATTCTGGAGGCCTCCTGCGTTCAGTGGAGCCTGGCACCTCATCCATCTTCAAAGCCCTGTGTGGCATCTTCAAATGTTTCTCAAACTTCTTGCTTCTTCCTTTGCTGTATCATTCCCCTTCTGGGACATTGGCCCCGCACGGTTAATCCAGTCTAATCCCATCTCAAGATCTGTGGTCTTCATTATTTTACAAAGTCCCTTTTGCCATGTAAGGTAACATCTTCATACTTGTAGATCTTGGATATTTAGACATGGGAAGATGTGGGGAAACTATTACCCTGCCTACAACACCCTTGCACAGTATTTGGCCATGGTAGGCCCTTAATAAACATTTTGTCTTGTCATTATCAAACTTTGGTTGTAATTCTTAGTGACATTGTGTTATTTACACATTTCTGAATTTGTGTCCTGTGAATGTCTCATCCTCAGCACACTAAACATTTTGAACCAGTAACTCATATAGTTCACTCAGGCACTTTCTATGGAGAAGTCATGATTAGTAAGCAACGGAGAAAACAGTTTCCACCCTCCTCAGAGTGTACTGGCAAGTCCAGACCTAGAAGAGACGATGAAGCCTCAAAACAAACAGCTTCCACTTCTGAGGAACACATTCGGCCTAGTTCTCATCGTAGCCTCTCTCTGGAATGTGCTTTCCCACTTTTGCTTGTTAAAACTCGCCTGTCCATCCTTCAAGCCTATTTGCATTTGGTTGTTTTGAGGAAAGGTACATGTTGTAACTGAGTATGTTTTAGATGCTGCTTGATTGGCCAAGAAACTGAAGTTAGCGGCCTGCTCTTTAACAACTAAGACTGTATAGTTACTTACTAGACCCCGATCTCCAAACCTGGATTTTATTATCTTTCATGATTTAGCTTCACTGTGCTTTGTCTAATATTTATTTTTTAACAGTGTAGGTAATTTTTCCTGTGCCATCGTCATTTGTGAAATGAGTTGAAAATGAATAAGCCACTTAAAGTATATTATCCTCTTGTGTTGGTCAGCAACTCTAGGAAGCAGGTGCCAAGGTGAAGCTGGAAGTATAGGAATTCTGTTAGGAGGAAGCCTGGGGAAGATTGAGGACTGAGGGAACAGGAGTAGGCAGAGGAGCTATCAGGCTGCCTGATGGAAGTGCAGCTCTCAGCAGGTCTTGCCCATCTGAGCTCTGGTGCAGATTGCTCGTAAAGGTCAGTTTGCTTGCGTGGGCAGAAATGACCAGGACCTAGCACATTAGTAGTGCTCTGTGATTGGCTGTGGCTGCCTCGGAAGTGTGGCTTTGATCAAATGCTGGAGTGTATGCCTCAGGTGCTGTGGCTGGAGGCTGTTAAGGAGTGTGACTTGAGGTGGGGCTTCTGTTAAGGGAGGTCGAAGCATCCCCCTTGTGGTCAACTTGTAATACCCAGCTACACTGAATCAGCATGGTGCTGGGTGTTGGGGGCCCACCTGAGGATTGCTGCCGGCAGCGTAAAAGAGAACTGGAGAAAAAGAAGAGAAGCTGTTAGGAAGCTGGTGGTTCTCTTGGGGTTGTTGGTTCTTCTGGAGGAGTTTTTCATGCTGGCTTTCCTGATATGAGCTTGCTGTTGTAATCGTTGAAGGAGCTTGGGACCTTGTCGCTGAGAATGGCAATGGTTCACTTTGGGGGAGCTCTGGTCCTTACTCTGAGCATTGCTTCCTGGCTGGAGGTGAAGGTGGTGCACCTGCTCAGCGTTCTGGAGAAGCTTGTCATGCTGGCTTTCCTGATACGGACACGGCTGTTGTCACTGTCGGAGGAGCTCGGGACAGCGCTTTTGGTGAGGGTGGCTGGGGTGCTTTTCTGGGAACTCTGGTTCCTACTTTGAGTGTTGCTTCTTCGCTCTCGTGCAGATCCCACAGCTTGCTGGCACAGATCCTCATCCCCCTGGCACGGACTCTCTAGCTTCCACCACTTACCTTTGAGCCTTCCCAGCACAAACCTGTGAAATAGACTTGCATGAGGCACTGTCATGGACTCTAGGTCTTCAGCTAGACTCATGCAGGACTTGCCACGGAATCCAGGCCCTTTGGTCTTCAGTGTATGGACAGATTTCCTGCACCCTTTTGAGCTTGACTATTTGGATAACTATTACAAAGTAATCCTATAAACTATGTGTTCTGTATTAAATTGTTTTTCTTGTAAATCCTGACAACAACACCCCTGCCAGCTGACAACTTCTGGAGGTAATTAGCATCTTGTCCTCATTGCAATTTTGCCCATATTATAAGTGTCCAGTTAGTATTTTGTAACTTTGTTTCATAGAACCATTGGTAATATAATAGTAATAGGATTACGTGGCAGAATCTGCTTGGGCTTTAGAGACAAAGTTCTAAATGCACATCTTGGGAATTTTTTTTTTCAGCCAAATACAGCAGTAATCTAGTGTAAGCCATTTAACTTCTCTAAAAGCTGAATGAGATTATTAACGATTTATTCCCAGAGTTGTAGGGAAGACCAAGTGCTTAATTCACCGTGTGCAACTTAGGACATAGTGAGTAAATGTTCTTTCCTTTGCTGTTCTCTTGAATACTATTTTATTATGAGGTAAAGCACTTTTATAAAAACTTTCTCATTGGGATTTGGTATTATTTTCTAAGAAGTTGAAACTAAAAGTAAGTGGCTGAGTCAAAGTCACAAAGGAAAAAAGAGCCAGAGCTAGGACTTGCATTCGGTTTCTGGTTTCAGTCCTAATACCCTTCATGTACTGTTGGCTGTTTTTAGAAAAATGAGCTATACTATACTTGATCTTAGCCAAAGGCTGAGAAGCAATGGGAAAATGGGCTATAATGTTCCATTAAACACTAACATCAGGTACAGGTCCAGGTGGAATATGGTGACAAAATGGGAAGGGAGAGATGCTAAGATCAAAGGATCTGAAGAGGACAAATTAGTAGGCAGTATGAATGAAAAGTGAGTAACACTATAATAATACAATAACATTTTATTAAATAAGCTTATTGATAGAATGGGGGAATCTTAGACCTAATTAACCTAGCCAGAAAACTGTTTAAGAAAAATGGCTTTTCCTAGGCCTGAATAAAAATGTTTCTTTCCAGAAACATTCACTAATCCTCACCATTGTGATTCCACTGTTTTCTGCCTAGTACATTACACAGAGCATTTGAAGGGTGGTTTTTTTCTTTCATGTACAGGATTCTTGAGCCAAATGCCTGCTACAGATACGCCTTTCTGTGCGTTGTCTAATGTATTTCTAAAATGTTCAAGTTTTGTGTTTTTGAAGTGCTGGGGATCATACGATTAAAGATAGCTTCCTCTTAAGTGAAGTTAAAGTTACTGTAACGGGGTTTGTTGATTTTCTCCCTTTTATTGCTAGAATATTAACTCCAGATTACTCACTCTAGCCAGGCATCTCTTCTTGTTTCTTCTCCATCATAATTTACAAACTATAGCCTATCACTTTATCATTAAGGTTAGTGAATCCAAGATGGTATTCCTTACAGTTCTGAAGAGTCCAAGAGGTCTCTTACTTGTTTGGCATTCTCGAAGTTCATTCCTCTGAACTGTGAGTTTAAGTCAAATATATTTACATAGCCTCATCACATTCTCCTCTTATTTTCTTGCGGGTACACTGATGGACACCTTTAGTCTCTGTACCTACTTTGTGCTTCCTGGAAATGCGTCAAGTCAATGGTGAGCCCCTATACTTTGTTAGATCACTCACTGTTCTTTGATCATATTCTACATTTTTCTACCTACATACTTTTTGTCATGCCATTCTCTACATTTCTGTTCCTTGAAATTCAATGTACTCTTCAAAATCAGCTCCAATGCCTCTCAGCTACTAACCTCCCAACCACAAAAACAATAAGTCAATAATGATTTTTCCTAAATCTTGAAGCATTTGGGTTGGATATTTTTCTGCAGTTAGAACAATCTTAAAAATAGTTATCTGTACTCAGATCTTTTCTTTATATTTTAAGTTCTTTAAGGCATCGACTATCTCAGATTTTTCACAAATGCTTAACACAAATGTCATTAAATTTGTCAATTATTTCTACATTGACAAACTGATTTGTATATTTTCAGCAGTAGGAATTGAGAATAAAACAGATAAAGACTTTTGTTAGTCTCATGGGAATTAGTATAAAATGATTTATGACGAATTGTAAATGAACACATCACTCAATGCAGAAATAGAATATAATTAACACAATGTTAGGTATAAAAGAAAGAAAAGACTAGTTACTTCATTAGGACAAAAAACTATTGGTTAAGAAGATAGAAGTTAATATCTTAAATGTTTTCTTGCCTTTGGTGTGTGTTTATGAAAAAAAATTTCATGATCTTCTATACAGTGTTTAAAATTCTAATATTATGTTTCACTACCGTTCTTAATTTCCTCTAATGGTTAACAAAAGTTGTGGTTTCACTGTATTAGTAAAGTTCTTTCTAAAAAATCTTAGGTGGGTTCTTAGACTATAAACTGTTTACTTTTTCTGAAAAAAAAAAAAAAAAAAAAAGCCCTTCACAAATGTTCGACTTTATCACTGTATAAAAATGTACAGTGGTTTTATTGACATGTACATTCCAATGTTTACAGCTGCAAGAATAATGAGGCACACTCAGTATTGCACTTCATTAAAATTTCAGGCTCAAACTTAACCTAGAAGTTTAAATGAAACTGCATTTGTAATTTAGTAATTCTTATACAGGACAAACATCAATATCTTTATATACAATGTGATACTTATTACATTTATATGCTGTCCTAACACAATTTTTTTTTTAAATAACAGTCTAGGAAATAAACCAGAATTTTCCTCTTTATATCCCCACCCGTGATGCAATTGTACAGGATTACAAAAAAGGCAGTATACAATAAACAATGATTATTTTTCTTTTTTGCTTGAAAGCCAGCATCATTCTCAGTCCAGGGGTATGGCGACTCTTTTATGTCAATTATCTATAAATGTTCAATGCTTCACAGGCCAATGACAGTAATGGCCACATGCAAACACCTCACAAGTTTGATGTCTTGGTTCAAAAGAAGATAAACCAAAGTAATGGAGAAAACTTCCACAGCAAGAATTATGTACATGGTTTTTGGCATCCTTCTTGCACTGTGAATGGTTCATTTTCATGGATGTAAAAATGGTCCCATCCTTATCCTGAGCAGAGTTTAAACTTCACCACATCCTCTTGGTGGATGAAGGCAACATTTTCTCTGTAGACAAAGGATCGCAGTGTTCTAAAAAGTATGAGCATTTCTGCACACTCCACACCCCAGAGCAAACTCTTCCCCAGTGGGTGGATGAACAACATGGAGTGGACATTCAGTTCCTTCTAACTGTTTGCCTTTGGGACCTGTATAAATTTTGAAGGAGGCAAAGGAATATAATATTTAAAAATACACACAAACCTCATATAAAGAGAAATCACTGATAAATTATTCAACGAAATAGCATGACTTTGGTTATGTAAATATAAAATTTTAAAATTTCTTCTCATAGAAATAAGAATGTTCATAAAAATTTCAATATGACAGAATTATATGTAACACAGAAAGTGACATGGTCCCTTACCCACAATATCTTGCTTAAAGAGAACCACCATCACCTATAGATCTTTTTCAACTAATAGATGAATTAGATATATCATTTTAAAGCAAAAGCAATGAGCAAAAATGGTCACAAAAATCTTTCCATTTAATTTAGCAGAATATTATTCTGCTAGATGAGAATACATGGAGATTTTTATATGGGATGTCTTTCTACAAGTAACAAATTTAAATATAAGTAAACCATATTATCTTTTTACTTTCACTGAGGAGAAAACATATCATCAATCAGAATACTGATTATTAGTTACTTAAAAAACTATCTGAAGGGAGATTAGTAGAAAAGTGAAAGTCACCTTAAAATATATACATTAAAATAAAGTAAAATGTAACTTAGAAGAAACACTTTGGGGAAAATACAAATTCAGAAGAAATACTTTGGGGAAAATACAAAATACAAAGTACATAAACTATGCTTATAAGATGTAAAAGAAAAAGCCCTGTACTCTTCTATTTCTAAAAGAAATTTGTGTCATTTAAAAAGGATGTCTAGCTTCTTTATAAATGGGGGGCTTTGTGAGGTAAGGAATATAGACTCTACTTACACTTAAATATATACTCCCTATTGCACTGTAGGAGGACAGATAGGAACTATGTATCAGTTCTCTAAAACTAATTTTCAAAATAATGTAAATTCTAATTTTACTTTAGAAAAAAAATACAACGTTGGATGGGTAAAGGTTTTCCAGACCAATGGGTAATAAAATCTCATTCAGTCTAACTCCTGGGTTAAACTTCTGCATAAAGAATGAAACCACGAGGGGTAAAACAGTGTCTATGACGCTCTTAGCCTGTGTAGTATAAATACCCAACTAATGTTAGCTTTTATTACTATGATTGAACAACAACAAACCAAGCCCTGATCTGGAGGAATACAATGTAAAATCATGTAAGAGCAACACCAAGGCATGGGGGTGGTATCAAAGTAAAGACAGCTCATCTCAGAAAGGGAAATCAGCTGCAGGCTTGAGCTAACAGACTGAAAGCAGCAGTTGTGCTGCTTCAAATCAAATGCAGGCACAGACCCACGATGCGTCAGTTGTGATAGTGGGACACTGGGAAGCGATTAGATCAGGAGGGTCAAGCCACGAATGGAGTTAGTGCCCTTATAAATTTGATCACACAGATCCCTTTGACTCTTCTAGCACGAAATTGCTGTCTGTGAACCACAGAGTGGGCCCTCACTAGTCACTAATCTGCCAGCGCCATATTAGACTCCCTAGGCTCCAGAATTGTGAGAAACACATTTCTATTAATAAACTACCCAGTTGATGACATTTTGTTATAGCAGCTCAAATGAACTAAAAGATTATCTATTTCAGTTTCTTGACGCTTGCCCTCATTCACATATGTGTATTAAAGATTAGAATTAATGACGTAGAGGGGTGGGTAGGAACTTGCGCCTCCTAAGAAAACCATACATGGCCATCTTTCTTCCTGATATCAGTGTGAGTTCTCCTTTAATTCTGTTCCAGGTCTCTAAGTGAATGGGAATTTGTGAGGAGAGGGGAGGAGAGGAGAAATCTCAATTGAAGTATACTGTCTGAGGCTAATTAACCTCCCCGCTCCTCAATTTTCCATTTGTGAACATGGAGATAATACTATTTACTTTGCAGATTGTAAAAATGAAATGAGAAGATGCCTATGAAATAGCCCAGGACCGATGTTAGCTCCTTTCTTCTGCTGACTCTCTCTTTTGCTGCCTCATTCTTATAATCACAATTGTTTAAAAGACAAAAGTCCTTTTAGTTCGCTGATTTGATCATGTGAATATTGGAGGGGAAGCCTTGCCTTTGGCCTACCCTTCCTCTCTCAGCCACGGTGTACCACTATGTTCTCTGGAATACTTACTTCATGGCTAACTTACTTTTCATTTCCAGAATTTTTGTTTTGTTTTAACAAACTTTCTTTCATTAAGTACACTGGATTTTTCTTGATGATATTCCTTGCCTCAAAGCTTTTTCGAACGGAAACTGGTGCTCCCTAATGTCACAAGGTGTGATGAACTTTCGCCCGCTTCCATATCCAGACCAGGACTTCCACCTTCCCCTCGCTAGTTCTCCTTCCCGTGCAGCTCTCCTCATCTGGAATACTGCCTCCTCCCTCCCTTCATTTGCTGACCTCAGCTCACTCCCTCTCCTTCTAATCATAGCTCCCACCACTGATCTGGCCATTACCTAAGTGCCCTGGCCTCACATCATTGTGAATTCGCTTCTTCAAAGGCTGTTACTTCTACGGAAAAAATTTTTTTCTTGAAGGGAGTTAGTATAGTGTTTTTATTTGACACAGGCAGCAAAAAGTAGCCACACTTTAAAACAATCTTACTATCAAATAGATAATATATTTCATATGGTTAAACATCAAAATGTTAAAAATTTGTAATCAGAATTGACATCTCCATCCCTATCTCTATCACCATCTTGCACTTGCTTTGTTCAATAATTTATTAGTTTCCTGTATATTTTTCAATTGTTCTTTATGCAAATATGAACGTAAGTATATACTCTCATTTCCCCCTTCTTACAAAAGGCAGCATACTGTATACACTAATCTGTAACTTGCTTTTTTGTTTAGAGTATCTCACAGAAATCTTTCATTATTAGCATAAGAAACTGCATCCTTTTTTAGTATTCACCACTCACTTATTAGATACTAGTATTGCTTACAAATTTATATTATTATAAGCAATGTTACAATGAAAAACCTGTACATCTGCCCTTTTAACACTTCCCTCACTGTGCATGTGTGAGGCCTGCTTAGGGCAGAGGCACTGGTAAATCCGAGGGGCACTATCATACTGCTTTCTGTGCAGGCCTGCCGTGTGCTCTCTGATGAGGCACGTAGGGGAGGGAGTGCTTCCCAGCTCTAACAACAGCACATACAGAGTGGCGTGTACGTGTATTTTCAATAACTGCAAATACACTGCATGGCTACATGTACTTCTCCCTCCACTTCTCCAGTAAGCCTGATATTTTACATTACTATTATTATTTTTTGTTATTTTTTTGAGACAGGGTCTCGCTACACAGTTTAGGCTGGCTTTGAACTCTTGGCAATCCTCCTGCCTCAACCTCCCAAGTGCTGGGATTAGAGGTATGCGCCACTGTGCTCGGCCACATTATGGCGATCCCCAGCCTCCTGACCTCTTCCAGTGTTTTCAGATTCTTTTTGGTTATATGTTCCTTTTTTTTTCTCCCTCAGCCTGACACTTCCACACTTCTCATTTATGCCACTTCTCATTTAATTCCTTTGGTTTTCTGGTCTCACTATGCTGCCAATTCCCAGACCCTCTAGATCAGATCACTTGTTCATTCTATAGTTCCAGGCTTATTTATTTATTTATTTATTTTGGTGCTGGGAATTGAAGTCAGGACCTTGCGCTTGCCAGGCAGGCACTTGTACCACTGAGCTATATCTCTGGCCCAGTTCCAGGGTTCTTTAAAAGAAAAAAAAAAATCACAGAACCCTTCGAGATGTTTCTATCATTAGAGTATCAAACTTCACATGGCTCTTCTTTGCTGAACAGTCCTTTTAATAAACCTTAGTAGACCTCATTCTTACTCCTTGAAAGGTTTGTTCTCACTCCTCATGCCTCATCATGATGATAACTTAAATTTTCTAGTTGGCTCAAAATGTTACAAGCTTACAAGGGTTGAGGTTATCTATGCTCTCTGATACTGTAGGCTCATTTGAACTGGGTTTCTAACATTTGAACCAGAGTTCCCAAATAATCTTTAAATAAAATTAACAATTATACTTGTGATTTTAAAAACATACCTGCAGGACAGTGTGGTAGTTCTTCCTTAGGAATGCTAGTCATTCTTTGAAAATCATCGTGACAAGCATTACAGAAATGTGTTGTTCCAAAACAGAAAAAGACAGCCACTGAACAGCAGTAGCGACATTTATATTCCAAAAAGTCTGTGCCATGTTTGGGACACATCTATAGCAAAAGAATATACAGGTACAAGATTATAGTGAGATTATTTCAACTATACTTAAAATAGTCACATACATGGCTCATTAATTCATATTTTCAGAATATATACAGCTCTGAAAACTGATTAAAAGACTTATGAAATACATATTAAAAGTTAATGGATAAATGTTTTGTTTTGCCCAAAAGATTTGGAGAAAGCCCTGAATTCTAATTCCATGTCCAGCACAATCTATCTGGTTTAGAAAGCACACTACTAAATTTCCTCATGAATATTTGGCCTGGTAAACTGAAAAATTGATAATGCTTTATCTATTTCCCAATCTCACAGATATACTGTGAAGATGTCACTGAAGCAGGGAAAATGTAAAAGTTTGACTGTAGCTTTAAGAAAATGAAATAGGTTCATTCCTTATTTAAAATAGGTGATCATTACATGGAAGACAAAATATAAAATGAAAATACCACCCAAAACAATGAAACAATATGGAAAATTATATAGTGCTGTATAAATATCAGAAAACACTAGGGAAAAAACCAACTTATTGGGTATACCATTATTTAATAAACAGACTTATAAACTTTCCAGACTGTTATTGTTAATAACATGCTCTATTCACCTGTGCCCTGGACACATCAGAACAGGCACCACAGATGAGCTCTCTGGGATCATAATCATCGCCTTGTCCAGCCTCAGCGTCACAGCGAGCCTCACCACCAAAATATGCCTAAGGAGAGAGACCATATTTAAATAAGGGAAGAAAAAGAAAACCTTCGCAGGGCATACAGTCATGAATGTTGGATCAAGAGGCCTGAGAAATACTATTGTCTGTTAGCCTCTCAAGGCCAAGTACCTACGTGCCTATATTGCTGACTGTAGAGTGGATCAATTTTGGAATGGATTTAGGCTTTCAGTAGGAAGTTTAAACACTGTACTGTCAAAGAAAAATGATTTGAGGAGGCATAATAGTTCAACACCAAGAAAAAAATATTAAGTAGTAAATAGAAATTGCTTTTCAAGGCAATGTTTGGAAAATTTTTCTTTGAAATACTAAACAACATATTTCTTTCTATTGCTCTAAAAATATGCTTATTAATTCCTAACCTATAATAAGGTAGAACAAAACTATGTTGCACATAAAGTATTAGAAGATAATTATAAGACCAAGTCTAATGGGAAAGAAATATCACTTTTAAGAAACTTGTGATCACAGAAATATTTTTTTAAAAGGAAAGCTAAATTTTGTAATTCTATTGCAAATACTCCTCACACTTATAAAGTTATACTATAAAGCTATACTACATGCAGAAATTTAATAGTATCCAACATATCCCCTCGAATAAATGAAGTCATGATGGACGATTTACTTTTTTTTGCTCTGAGCACAAAATAAATCAGGCCAAGAAATTGGGACAATTTGCATGCACACCATGTCCCATAGTCAAAAAGCTAAGTCAAAATTGGGAATAAACAAGCTGAGTCAATATAAATCTATTATCTGTACTAGAAAAACAGGTCAAAAGGCTTCATTGATGCAGAGGTTATAAATGGTCATCCATCAGCTAAATCTAGTCCTAGAAATGTTTAAATTTATCTTAAGGCCAATTGCTTACTCTAGCTGTTGTACTTCTCTATATTGTCTGTGTAGCTTCCTAAACATTTGACTGCTATCCATGTGGCAGCATAATATTCGTTTATAATATTTAGCACATTAAATACACAGAAATAGTATTTTACTATTGTAACAACACAAATTTCACAAATGTACTCTGTTGGTCTTTATCTATCTATCTATCTATCTATCTATCTATCTATCTATCTATCTATCTTTCTGAGTATTTAGCCTTCCATTCATTCATTCTTTACAGTACACCATAGCATGGAGTCTAAATGGTAGTACACTGGGAGATGAGATAAGAGAGATAGACGGAACTACAAGATTATAAGCAGAAGAATGACCCACTTAGATCTGAGATCTAGAAATACTAATCAACCAGTAGTGATGTAAGAGTAAAGGATGAAGTGGGTGCCGGGGTTTAGGAGATCCACATGAGACTCAGTAAGAAGGCTATAATAATTATTAAAGAAAGTAATTAGGGTGTTAAAGATATAATAGAAAAAAAAAGGACTCAACAGAGATTTGGGGACAAAATGGACAGGACTTTATAAACAAAGTTTACAGATTTGGGGAGTAAAGGCTGATGAAAGTAACACCAGACACATGAGTTTTAAAGTATCTATGAAAAATAAAAATGTGTGATAGAGAGTTGGGTATTTGTACCTAACTCAAAAATTTTGGAAGGTCATAATGGTATATATAGCTTGTTTGCAAAAATGGATGTACTCAAGGCCACCAAAGATAAGGAGGTATTATTAGGCAGAGTTATGGGCAATAAGTATATGTTGGGTAGGTAAATGAAAAGGAACTGCTAACAGTTAAATGACCACAAACATAGGAGGACGTAAAAAAAAATGTTGTCCTGCAGGTAGGAAGTAGCAATTTTAAGAAGGGTTAAGAGAGTGAAGTTGCCTTGGGCAAACATTTTATTGAAAGAAAGAAGTGTTTTTAGTACTATATGTTTTGGAAAAAATTTAGGTTAAAAAAAAATCCCAAAGCAAATTAAGTCAATAAATTCAGTTTGAAACACTGTATCAAGCTTTCTCTTTTTTGACTTCAAGCTTAAGATGTAAGAAAAATTAGAAATTACTATACAATTAAACTTCTCAATCATATAGGTAATCTCTATCTTTTAGAATTTCTTAGTATAATTAGCAGCATACCTTTCTGCATTTGTAGCAGACATAATATGCATATCTATTCATGGCATAGCCAGCTGGATCATTATAAAACCTCACACCAGGAGTTATGATAGCTTCACTCTTATGCAGACCTTCATATTCCAATCTCATTAAGGCTTTTCTTCTGACATCCTCATAGAGTTCTTTTATGGGATCAAGCAGGTCTTTTAATACTATATGATTAATTTTGTTCTGAAATTGAAAATATGCACATTCTTTAACAGAATCATTTATTAACTAATTCAATAAGTATTTACTGTGCACCAAAGGCCAAGCACTGTACCAGGAGATAACCAATCAGTAACATTCCTCAAATAAATATTATTTGAAACCATCCTGTAAAGTCCTTACATACCCATATTTTCCCAAGAGTATGGATAATAAGGATAGAAGGGGCTCAGAACAAAAAATAACATTTTTTTTAGCTTCATATCTCTTGTATCTAAAACATGCACTTCATATCTCCTGCTGCCTTAGCTATTGTGGGAATAAAGATTACCTTGCTGTCACAAATATGACATACTCCTTCTGTGTGTGGCATGTATGTATGCTTTGGTTCCTTAGAAATAGGATAGAATGTCAGGTGATAGAAATGAGCAGATGGTGTTTTCTGTATTATCTTCATGTACCTGTTTCCAAGGTTCCTAAGTGTGACTTTTCTCTGAGTCACGTAAGAAGGCAAATAAACAAAATAGGATAATTTTTTGTCCATCCCTTAGTCTAACTAAGCAATGATTCACCAAGTCATCATGTTAAATAAACCCTTTGTACGAGTCTGCAAATAATGAAGACAGGACAACAGGGAAAACTAAGCAGAACAAAAAGGAGTGGAGAATTAATAGGGAAGGCATGTCACACTCTTTATCAAAAGTATTTTATTAATTATTACTAGCTTATCAAAACATTGTCCTACTTTGCTTACTACTTCTGTACAAGTAAGACAAAGTCCCAAGAATTTCTCCTTATTTTAACTAGCTCTAAAAGAATCTGTACTAATGGTACTAATGATCAAGATTTCACTCTTAAATGGTAGGTGTCAGTAAATAAGAGTACCACAAGATTCCTTTACTATTCTGATTGGCACCCATGGCCGTAATATAATGATATAACTCACAGGGTCTCAAAGTAGTAAGGGCATCATTAATACAAAATGATGTTTATATAAATTTCATCGTGCAAAGTATTTAATTCAATTTACATGGCTTTTAATTTACAGTAACTTTTGAATTGCATTGTAACACCTAGAGAGATCTTACAATATTTTCAGGTGCCACCTGGATGAAGAGGACAGAAACTGAGACTGGCGGTAAAAAGTAAGTAGGGAAGAATACTAAGAGTTTCTAATGGCCACTTATTTTGAAAGATGAAAATACACATGAAAAGAAAAAGAAAGTAGCTAACTTCAGATTCTTTCCATACCTTGCATATAGGACAAGATATAAATCCAAATGTTATTCTTGGGCCAAGCCATCTGTTTTCCAACACTCGTCGACAGCATTGTAAGTGGAATACATGACTACAGTCCAGCTTAAAAATAAGGAAAGAAGTAAGCAAATGTAACAATGATAAACAAGGAGACTTCTCAACATAAAATGTTACTTAAAGCAGATAAGAGAAAAATCAAGAAATTTAGCATAATGAAATTCCAGCACTTCCTTAGGATAGTATTCATGAAACATTATTAACCAGTCTTACAACTTTTCCTACTCTTGGTCATTCAATTATTAATGCCATCTATATAAAATTCACCTATATAAACTGAGTTGGATTAGGGATATAAAATATAAAATTACTCAATTTTGTGTCTCACAAAGAATAGGAAACTACTGATTTGAAGGTTTGAGATTTTTAATGAGAATATTCATTATCTTAGAATCAATCGCAAGAACTGCAAATATGTATAAACAACTGACAAACATTTAAAAACTTATATTGCAAATAGAATAGTAACTTTTATTATGTATGCAAGGATGTTTCACCATGCTTTAATCAACTACATGTTATATAAATATGCTGGACTTCAGAAAGTAAGAATACTAGCTCCTTGATAATCTAGTAATTTCCACCCTTAACATTTTACATAGTGCTATTTATTGTATTATACTTATTCACACAGATCATAAAAGATGGGAACATAAAATGGGAAGCAGAATATGAAGAGACAGAATTCCTACCCAGTAGAAGCTCAATCAAAAAATATGACAAACACTTAAAAAATTTATTACAGTAGAAGACACACTGCCAAAATATGTCCACTCTCTTCAAAAACACTTCTGCCATTGTTCTTGCCACTCTCAGAAGCAATTTTTGGAAGTCCTTTCTTTTGCCTTTAGTTATGCTGCAATGGCTGCCTCAATGTTTTGAATCAATTTAAAACGTTGACTTTTTTATGGTCATTTTGACTTTGGAGTAGAGCTAGAGGTCGCATGGTGCCAGATCTGGTGAATAAAGTAGATGCTGACACATAGTAATGCTTTTATGAGCCTGTCTTTCCACTGGATGGCAGCTGGGATCAGTATTAATGAATTTTTGATTGCACATTGTAAAGAGACTCAAAAAAGAGGATTTCCAGAGCTGCTCCAGAAAGTGTCAAGAAATGTCAGATTACTGTGTTTTAAAAGTGAAGAAGAGTATTTTGAGGAGTAATGGAAATGTGCTTTAATGTAATAAATTAAAAAATGTTAAGCACTATATTTTTTGATCACTGCCTGTACTGTACACAAATATACATTAAGGGGACTTTAAAATGATATTCTAATCATCTTTTTATTTGACAAGTATATTTCCCCATGATATATTTAAAAGTTGAAGCAACCTGAATGGCTGGTGCTGCAGAGAGAGCTTCAGTGAAACATATCATGCACATGTCATCAGCATCCTGCTTCAGTGTTGTGGCATTTTTGTCACAGCCGTGTAGACAGGGCAAACAATGTTCTTCATTTTTAACACCTCCACATGGATGGCCACAAGGATGTGTCTTACTACAAGCTATCTTAGCATATTCCTATTAAAATAATATACAATGATCAAAAAGGGCTCATATTTTTATAATTATACTTACTGTATTTGTTTTCCAAGATTATACTTCCTATGGGAAATATCTATTCAGCAAAGTAATAACAATTATTTTTATTTATTGTTTGAATCTAAATTAGGATTATTAGGAGTCTATTTTTCCTAATAAGATTTTAAAAAATTTCATTCCACATAAAGGAAATGCTGATTAAAAATGATTACAATTTTGTCTTCATGCCTAATCACAAAGCAAAAAGTTCCTGATGTGTAACCTCCTAATTATAACCTTCCTCCTCACCAAAACAAAGGTTAAAAAGAAACACAAGAAAATTCCATATATCTCTGACTATCTGAGCATTATCCAAATTATTATTATACGAACCAAGGAACCAAAATATTTGTTTTCTTATTTGCTTGTTTTTTTGGTTTTCTTCCTGTACCAGGAATCGAACTCACGACCTTGTGCTTGCCAGGCAGGCGCCGTGCTGCTGAGCTAAATCCCCAGCCCCTGGAACCAAAATATTTGGAGTGCACAGAATATGTATACATATATTCAGAACTCAAGAAATCTAATATATTAGGAAATTATTTTAGGGAAATAGATAAAGGTGAAGAAATTTCAGTTCACAGACATTTTAACTGCTTCAAGCCCACAATTAAATATTATAAACATATGATCACAGTAACTGAGAAAAACACATTTGATCCTTTCTCCAGCTTTGATAAAGCCTTTAATGCTTGACAAAGGATAATGAGACTGAGTGTTATTCATATGAAGCAGAGGTATCACATGGAAACATGTGCTCTTCCTCCCTGGGATGGCCTGCCTCTAACTATATACGCACCTGACAGTCTGCATCAGAACAAACGCTGCCAACAGCAGATAACTCTGTTCCACTCCTGGACCCACAAAAGCGGCATGCTTCTGAGCTACTTGTGGTGGGTTTGCCTACGTTCAAGCAGAAAAAGAAAAAGAAAAATTCCCAAGCTCGTTTTTCTATACACTGTAATATAACTACTTATAGTTTTAAAAAAGCAAACCATATTCATATTGTCATCAACAGAAAGTTAGCCAAGGGTTGTAAGTTGCCCTATTATGAAACAAATAATGATAAAAAAGGGTTAAGAATCTAAAGATGTATCTGAAGCCATACAAACTCTTGATTCATTTATACTTTTTAAAGAAGCTCTAGACTCCCAGTCAAGCTAACTGGGACTGAGCAGATATGGCAAGCTCTTACTCCAAGTGCACAATATCAGATAAATATAATAAACGTTAAACTAAAATATGCTAAATAAAAGAAAGAATATTTTTATATAATAATATTATAAAGCATAAGATAAAACTCATAATCAAATGCTAAAACTTGAAAAACAAAAGAATCCCTACTTAAGAAACTCATATTTGCAAAGGAGTTTACATGTTTAAAATATTTAAAGAAGGAATAGAAACTATCAAACAAAGATAAAACAACAGGAAAAAATACTTGAAAATTAATGATTAAGTTCATTTTTAATCACAGGTACACAAATCCTAAACATCAATACATTGAATTCAGCAATAATTACAAAACAAAGATTTTTAAAAGAGATAGTTCATATGATGACAAGGACAGTACAACAGTAAAACATTACTAGTTCTATATATAGTAATGATAGTTTATAGGAGGAAAAAAACAGCTATAAGAAAAAATGGCCATGCTCTTGTAGTATGAAAAGTCACTCATTTAGAGTTAATTTCTGCAGGTTTGTATCAATCCCCAACATCAGAGGTTTATCTCAGTAAGATACATGGCAGACTACAGCCATGCTAAAAATTGAGAATTTATGTGATTCAATGTAATATGAAGTTATAAATAAGTAACTTATTTTTTGTTTTAAATAACACCTATTCATCTTTGCTAATTATTTTGCTATCAATCAATGGCAATATTACCATTGAGAAAATCTTGAGAAGTACTAGACCTATAGTAACTTCAGAATATAACATAAAATCATACAGCTTTCCAGTTAAAAAATCTTAGTGATTATCTAACGCAGAAATTTTATTGTGAAGCTGCAACCAACAGAATTAGAAGGCAGTATCAACAGCAATGTTTCATAGAGAGGGAGCACTCATTAGTGCGTGGTGCTTATTTACAGGCATTCTGTAAACAGTACAGGGGTCTCATTTTACAAATGAGGGCAATGGGTCCCAGAGAGGTTAATGACTTGCCAAGATCACACAGTGGCAACTCAGGTTTCCTGACTTTTTAGGTTGACCTCTTTCCAACACAGAACACACCTGGGTATAATAAACATACTACTGACAGTGGTCAGTTTTGTGATTAAATGTTAGAAATGTAGGTATGCTCAATCTTTGTTTTCAAAAGGCATGATGCAATCTTTAATTCTCTTTTACCTGTGTGTTCTCGGAATTCCACCATTGCCTTCATTGTTTTAGAATCTGCAAGTGCCATCAACCAGAACAATTTGGTTCGACCACAACCTTCATGAAGATCAACCTTTATAGCTTCTTCTTCTTCTTTGAAGACCTATTGTTTCATTAAAGCAGAAGAAAATATATTCATTTCTCACTCTGACAGAACTATAAAGCTTAATTATCTATTAGTAATGGCTTTCACTTATCAAGTACTATAGGAAGTTTCAGGTATTTCCAGTGTTCTTTTTGGTATTCACACCACCCCCATTTTAAGAAATGTGGAACTAAAGTTTAAACAGCTTGCTTATTTTACAGTTACTAAAATATACAGAAGGGAACTCAACCAAGGGCATTAATCACCAGCCTCCCTTTTCCCAGTTCTTTCCCACATTTATTTCAGAATTCGCTCCATTTCAAATTTCATGCTCCAGATACTGGTTTGGCCATAAATATTCAAATCTTTACCTGTCTTTGATGAGTTTTGGTTCGCCGATGAAGATGAAGAAATCTGTCACAGTCAGTACACAAATTTCCACATACGTTGCATAAAATGATAGCTGCAGTTTCACCATCATCGTGGTTATCACACATGGGCTAAAAGGAGACATTTTCATATTGTATCAAATTAAAGCTTCAGACACTTATACAAACTGAATATAACTGTAAGTTATTTACACTGGTACCTCAGTACTCATCAGTCATCAGTCCCAGGAGGCATGAAGAGTACCAGAAATGACAGGTACCAAACAAACTGTTTTGGCTAGAAACAATAGTGATTCATGAGGCAAGTAACACCCATGAGTTCCAGCTTGTAGACTGACAACCAAACAAATGAGGAATAGGAGGTCAGAATTTTTACATCAAAATGTGCTGAATACCAAATCTGGTGAGTTTCAAAGCAGTTGAGTACCAAGGCATGATTGTACAACACACTTATTCTAAAATCTATTAAGATTTTTCTAAAATTCTAAAAACCTCAGTGTTAAAAAGAATTGACAAGTATCCTTAACTACAAAAATCTCTTAAAATCATTCAGCGATTAATGTGCTATGCAGGAAAACCTCCCCAGACTCCAAACTAATGATTGATGTACTTTACAGATTTAGTGATTAGCAAAATGAACATGTATACTTTGCTTAATGACTTAAAATCCCATTATATATCTAAACATTCTATATGATAAATGACTCATTTTTTTCAAACTTGAGCAATAAAAATGTTGAAAGTAGCCTATATATCTTCTCTTTCAGTGAATTTAAAGATATCCAAGAAAACCTTGAAGTTTTTGAATAGGTAGCATTTTATGCTGCCTCTCTAACTGCTTTATATCTTCCTACCACAAGACCACTCAGATTTTCTAGCACTAAATACACAACAGAATCAGAATCTGGCTACAAACATTTTTTTTTCTTTTGTTTGCCATGCTAGAGATCAAACCCACGAATTTGCACATTAAGGAAGGACTCTTATCACTGAGTTACACCCCCCAGCTCTATAAACAGATTTTGGTGTAATGCAAACATGACACAAGTTGCCAGGTGTGGTGGTGCACACCTGTGATCCCAGCACTCAGGAGGCTGAGGCAGGAGGATCACCTAGAGATTGAGGCCAGCCTGGTCTACATAGTGAGTTCAAGACCAGTCTGAACTACATAGCAAAACTCTGTCTCAAAAAACAAAACAAAACAAAAACCCCTAAAACCAAAGTGGGGGGAGAGAGACACACAAGAAAGGAGAAAGCTCTTTTATAGAATTAAATAAAGGCCCCTAAAGTTTCTAATATACTGTTACTCCAAGTGAAATAAGACTTGTGAGATGAGATTTTTTTTTGTTTTTTTCTCCTGTTTTTGAGCCCAGGGCCCAACAAATAATAAGCAAATTCTCTTATAACTGAGCTACTTCTCAGCCCTTTTTATTTTGAGAGAGGGTCTCATTAAATTGCCCAGGCCGGCCTTCAGCTTGTGATTTTCTTGCCTCAGCCGCTGAAGTAACTGGGATTATGGGCATACATCATCAGGCCCAGAGTTGTTTTTTAAAAATATTTTTAATTTTTGCAATGCTGGGGATACAACCTAGGGTTTTATGCAAACCAGATGAGTGCTCTGCCACTGAGCCACAACCCCAGCCCTTTAAATTCTGATAATTCTGATCTTACCATTTGTTTTTGTTGTCCATCCTTTCCCATCCACCTTCCTGAGGAGAGACGATCGACATGGTCCTGATCAAGAACACACAGTGATGCTAATGCAAGCCAGAGCTATTGAGAGAAAAAACTGTTAGGTCACTGAAATTTTAGGGAATACTTAGAAAAGGCTGACTCTCTGACACATGATAACTGCTCAATAAATGGCTGGCTGAATCTAAAATACAGACACTTGGTGGCAGCACTGCAGCTTTCATAATGTGGCACATATGGCCATATATGCCACATACACAGTAGGCATTCATGCATATATTTTTGTTTTGTTTTGTTTTTTGTTTTTCTTCCGGTACCAGGAATTGAACTCATGACCTTGAGCTTGCCAGGCAGGTGCTTTGCCACTGAGTTAAATCCCCAGCCCCAGTAGGCATTCATGTATGTACTGAACAAATAACTTGTTTTTCTAACGAACCATCCTGCTTTCTATCTGACACATAAAATTATCCTTTATTGGTCTACTATGTAAACAAATTCATTTATTGAAGTAAATGAATTTACATATTTTTACTGTACTATGCCTTCTGCATATTTTTCAATTTAGTATCATCTATCTGAGGCATTAAATTCCAAAGAAGGTGGTAAATGGCCATTTACTTGTTCCTAGTTCCGTTAGTAGTTGGGCACATATTAAATTCTTCTAGGTAATAATAATTCCTTAGAAATTTCTGTTGCCTCGAAGGGCTTAGTACTATACTTGGTCAACTTTGTCAAAAACAAATGACTGATAAACTACAGAAAACTGCCCTCAAAAGTAGGTTAAAATTTCTAAGGCTTAAAGGGTAAGCTTCAGTTTTTATATAGGATGATATATTCCTTCATTAATAAGAAAACAAAACATTATTTAAAAGGCTTAACTTTAACAAATGCATGTGAATATTATTGGGTATGAAGAGCAAGAAATGGTAAAATAAGAACAGAAAAACTGAAAGAAGGAAAATAATGCAAGGAGTAAATGAAAAGTAGGCTCAAAGAATAGAAGTCATGAATGGTAAAAAAGGGTTACTATCAAAAACACTTGCTTCCAGTGTCACGCTCACTAGCAAGACAGCATAAATTAGCTTTCTTGGCCATAGGGAAAGCACAGGTTACCTTCTTTTTCAGACTTCTGAGGATTAAACTAAGCAATTTCCACCAGTGTCACTTCTTTCTAATGCTGTCACACTGTCTTACTCAACAAAACCTCAAATCTCTTTTGGAATTATATGAGACATGAAATCATTTAGGTTAAAACTCACAATAGATGTCCCATCTGAAAAATGCAACCCTCCTCTCTCAGAGATTCTGACCTACTTTACCACTGATAAGCATTTCTGCTATTCAAAAGACTTATATAGCTTTGTAGGTGAGCTATATAGGATTCTGCCTTATAAACAATGGGGCCACATGAAAGGGAAAGTGACCTTATCGTCAAAGGATCTTCAGTTGATCACAACATAATGCTACTTTACTGCCATAAGTTTCAATAAACAGGTCATTAGAAAGATAATACACACATGATATGATTTATCTAGCCTTTTTAAACCAGTATATCCTTGGATTCCTAAATAAAAAACCAAATGATACAATAGTCCTAACAGTAAATGGTAATCACGACCATGTTTAGTTCATAATTCATAAAAAGTCCTTGTATTTTTCAATATGTAAATTATTTGGTAAAAATTGTGGATTGACTTGGTTAAAATTTGTTGCTAAAATCTACTACTAAACAAGGACATGCAATGATATAGACCAAATTAAAACTAAAACCAAACACCTACTCTAGTTGTCGCAATACATCTCACTGGAGATCTAAATTCTTCTTCCATCTTGGTCAAGGCAATGATGGTTTCTGCAATAGCGTTTTTGGTCACTCGGGACCAAGCTTCTGACAAATGACCCTAGTGAGCAAGACAGAATATTTTAATAAGTAACCAGAAGTATATTATCATAATAAATTCTTTTTTCTCAAATAGTATCTCTCACCAAAAGTAAAGATAAGCTGTTGCAAGACCATATTAATTTTAGATAACAGGGACACAGACTTTTGAGCTCAAGATTCTTTACAGCCCTATGAAAATTTCAAATTCTGCTGAGTGTAGTGGTACGCACTTGTAATCCTAGCACTTAGGGGGCTAAGGCAGGAGGACTGCATGAGTTTGAGGCTAGCCTGGGCTACATAAATGAGTTCAAAGCCTTGTTTACATAATGAGACCCTCTCTCTCTCTCTCTCAAAAAAAAATTAAATTCTAGTATTTTTGATGATTTAAAGGTTAAATAGAAATTTAAGATCTCAATTTTGTTTTTCTACAGCAATTAAGGGCATTTCCACTTATATTTACATAAAAATGGAGGCGCTACAGTATCTATGCTTGAGAAATTTTGGTTATTGAATGTTATTTAACCGAAAATACATACAGTTAAGCTAACTGTTTGAGTATTACTGGAATCCAAGAATATAAGTGGGTTTAAATTACTTTTATTTGCTATTTTGATTTTTAATGAGTATCAAGACTTAACTATCATATAATTTTGTAGTTCCTAAACATCCTTCCTAAAATTTTTCATCTAATGAACATTCTAAGGAAGTCTATTTGCCACAAATATGGAGAAAATGTCCATGGTGTTGAGAAAAGTGATAGCACTTCACCTTCCCCTGAGAATATCCTGCCATTTCTTATATCTGTATGTTATAAATCTGTTCAAGGGCCTGTCAAATCCTCCTCAAAAATGTTTTCTGTTCACACTGCCTCTCGGGGATGTATATTCCATAGTGCCTGTTCTCCTCAGGTGCCCTCCTGGAAATACAATGGTGTGTGAGGGAATTGACTGAATGGAGCAATTCATAAAAGCCAGTTGGTCTGTGAAGTAATGCTCTGTTCTCATCGCTCTTAGATTTACCCTAAGTCTGACATCTTACTGACAGTGGTGTAGGACATTAGTGAAGAAGAATAAGGGGTTTATAAACTATGAGGATGAAGAGAGTGAAAGACTCCCACTTCTGAGAGCCTCTCTCTCTCTGTCTCTTCTCCCCCTTTTGGGGAGGGGATACAGGCTCTTTCAGGTCACAGTCTTATTTAGTTTTAAGGTCTTGGAAGTGTTATATAACAATTCTCAAGTAAATTAACTGGGAAGTTTGAAATGAACGTAGTTTATATCAATGATCAAAAACACAAATAGCACAGGACTTAACATACTAAAAATAGTCTAAGTAAAGTAAAATAACACTAATGTACTTTTCCTATCCGTTACATAGAATAAACTGTTCATTGTGTCAGTAAGATTCTTGCTGCATCTCACTGCTGTAACAGTAGGAGGATGGGACTTACTGCTGCCATATCCTTTATAAGTTTAATGATGATCTCTGATATCTGAGTAGGAGTTGAGCCCTTCATCCACCAATGACTTTCACCTCGTCGAAGATAACTACAAACAAAAATCAGCATTTATAAACCAACAAGTAGTTTGACAGTTGTTATAAATGAAAAAGTAAAAATGTTATTTCAGTAAACATTTTTAGAATGAATTACATTTTAAAATAAAATTAATCAAAACATTACCTTGAATCTATCCCTCAGTCTCAAGACAGCAACTATTCTGATTCATGTCTGTTTCAAATATGTCCTAGTTTACACATTATTTTTCCACATATTTTCTAGAACAGTGATGTTTAAAGCATAGTCCATGGACTACAGATGACTTGTCTAGCACACATGGGGATAATATGGAACTTGTGGCAGAACTTACTACATGACTAAGTAGACAACTACTTAGCTAAATCAGCTGACATTTTTTTTCCCTAAGAAGACTATTTACATGAAGGAAATAACACTCTGATTAACACTCTGGTGTTACATTCTTATTGTCATTGTTGGTTCTATAATTTATACTATTCAAGACATCTTTAATTTTTTACTTTTACACACAATTCTAGAACACCTTTGCATATTCACCTCTCTGGACATGTATGAAAGTTTTTGGAGAGAGAACTGGTAGGTCAAAGATATCAAAGTGACATCCAAAAAATGCTTCAGCAATTTACAGCAGATCAAAATGCCTTCATAATGTTGTTAAAGCATCAAAGATACTTTGCAACTGTTTTAGTCTACATTTTTCTCTCAGGTAAACCACCTTTTCATTGTTTATTAAATTTTTTTCTTTGAACTGGTGGTCTTGTCCTTGAACTCTTTATCACTTGTTTGCCTTTTTGTAGACCAAATACTAATACTGCAGCTAATAATTAATTATCTATTATTCAGGCTTAAATATTTGTCCAAGTTAATTGCTTATGTTTTAAAACATTTTAATAGTATTATCATTCAATTAATTTTCATTTTTATGTAGTCAAATCAGTGATTCTTTTCCTATATTAAACTTTTAGGTTCTATGTTTTGTTGAGGAAGGATTTCCCAAACTGAAGATTGGAAAAATATTGTATAATTTGTCCTGGTAGAGTTTTAAAAGAAATATACTTACAGCTTTAATTGATGCAAAGTTCACACCTCCCTACCCAACCCCAGGCAGGGTTATTTTATTTTTATTGAGGTAAAAAATATATATATGACATGTAAATAAGTTTTACTTTTATAGATATATGATGAGGTAGTGGTCTACAGTCTTTTTCAGCAAAGATATACAAACATCCTAACTTTATATATTTAGTTTAGTTTCTATTCTCTACTAACTGAAAATGATACCTATATGATACTCCTTTTATACATGACAAATCAATTATTTATGGATACCATTTGGTGGAACTTGAAATGATGTTTTAATTCGTTGTTACTAAAACAGAGGAAATGACCAACCTGGAGTTAAAAATCATCGGAAGGGTGACTGTTGTAACTCCTTTGCCCACAGTGGTACCCGCTGTTCCTGTGATGGTGGTTCCTTTGGCTTTTAGCTGTACAGTGAGTGCTTTGGCAATGCATCCTAGAAACATGTCCAAAATACCTAGCTTATTCCAATCTCCTTTCTCAGTTGAATGAATGATATCACTGATATCGGCTGGAGGGAGAGATTTCACTCCTATGATGCTGGCCAGACGATTGGGGGTGACTTCAGGCAAAACTCGTCTCAGTAAGGAGGTCACCTGGTAAGAAAAAGAAAAAAAATCTGTTTAAATATTGATGTTTTATAGTTTTCATATTTTTAATGTGCAAGCTACCATTAAATTTTAAATTTTTTAATATAAAATACAAGGTACCATTCTGTAACTTCAAAATCTATGAAAAGAACAGAAATATCATTTAAATACTATTTTTAATTTTGAGAAGGAAAGAAATATGTTTTAAATATTTTTTAATTTCGGCAGTGGTAATTACTGACCAAGGGCTGCAAGAAAAAAACGTGTCTTATTTTTGGTCTGTTCTAAATGACATTATATATTTTCAGTTAAGGAAGTAATCAGTAGCAAGACATACTCTTTATCATAACACATCAGTAAAATGCAACGTATTTTGCTTTTCATTTCTTCATTGCTTTGATTACAAAGTCAAAAATAAAATACAGAGTCAAAATATAGGCCCCAAACAAAATACGAAATCAAACATAAAAATCCACATTTAAACCCCTTAGGTGATTCTCTTTGCCTTGTAATTTTCACGGCTACTCATTTATTTTTCATGATGCTGGGGATTGAACACAAATCTTGTACATGCTAGGCAAGCACTACCATTGAGCTATAAACCCCAATCTCTTTATTCTGTGATTTTTGTATTTCAATTAACAAAGCACAAAAGTAAGGCGTATGATCAGTCACCTGTCTCTGGACTCTAGGAGAGGCTGTATGAAGCAGGGAAAAGAGATCCTGCAGCAGAGTAAGCTGCTGAGCCAGATATTGCCGGCCCACATTAGAACCACTCAGTGCTAAAACCATGGAGAGCAGCTCAAAGCAGTAAGCATCTGAGGAGGCATCTTCATCGTTTGGCTGAGAGTTGGCGTTTTCCTTGCTCGATATGGCGTGCTCCCATTCTTCACGCACCCTGGTGGCTTCCATGCGTATAGCTTGGACAATGTGCGCACACACCTATGTGAAGGCAATATAGAAAATCTAAAACTACATTTGTAAGTCTGATTTACCACTCAACAACAAAAAAAGGGAAAAAATATAAGTTCATGTTCAATGTAATACTCTCCCAGTTAATGCTCCATGTCCTTCTCTTAACTAATTTTAAAAACAATTAAATGCCTGTAATCCCTGCATTCAGGAGGACCACTGAGAGTTTGAGGGTAACTAGGATATACAATAACTTCAAGGCCAGCCTGAGTTACGTAGCAAGACCCTGTCTCAAAAAAGGGGGTAGGGAGAACAACAATAACCCCCCCAAAAAATTCAAAAGAAAAAGAAGTAAAACTAGAGCAAACATGACAAAAATCTGTACATTTGAATCAACTATAATGTAGAAACTAAGAATAATACTGTATTCTAATGCCTCTGCTTATAGTTTAGCACATCAAACCATCAAAAAAACCAAAACAAAACAACATATTTTGTTACTTTTATGGCATTTTTTTTTTTTTTTTTTTTAAACAGGGTGTCACTGTATAGTTCAGGCTGCCCTTGAACTCACTATGTAGTCCAGGCTGGCCTCAAACTTATGGCAATCCTCCTGCCTTAGCCTCCTGAGTGCTAGGATTACAGGCAGGCACCACCACACTTGGCTGGCACTTTTTTCACATCTACTCATAAGGTTCTTTAAACTGATAGTATTCACAATATAATTGGAGAAATTTTTCTTTTCTATGATCTTTAAGCATCCAAAAGTAAATGAAACACCATTAGATAAAGTGCAAGTAAATTTATGTTGTTATTTAGAAAGATGCAATGGTGCTGAAAGCTACAGGGCGGTGGTGGCAAACCTGTGGTACATGTGGTGCAGCAGCAGGATGTTGGCATCACTGAGAGCTCTGAAAGATTCACCACCACTGTTACAGGGTGTTATAAAATCAATATTTTATTTCACTTTTGAGGTGCTATATGTTATGAAAAATCTACCAATACTTCCCACCCACTTATATTTACAAACATTAACACTGGTTTTCTTAGCATTATGGTAATTACTCAGAAAAGAAAAGAAAAACAGGGAAAAGGAAATAAAAAAGAAATCTCACATAGCTGAGTATTTGTAACCAAGATAATACAATCTACCTGCATATGAGAAATAACAAATAACAAGGTAAGAAAGTTAACATTCATGACAAAAACTTACAGTGATTCAGGTATGACAATGTAATTCCTCTCTAAAATAAGGCAGTTCCATTACACAGGACTTATAAAACAGCCACCATAAAAAAGCTTCCATAAAGTTTGGAAGACATTTTACAACTTAAAAACAAACAAAAACTGACAGAGACAATGCAATGGCTATTAACCAACCTGTTTTTGTAAGTTAGTCAATTTACTCCTGCTGAATATGATTCCAACCATATGTTCTTTCAGGTCAGCATCTGATGTTGCCTTTACGTAAAAAAGAAAAAAAAAGCAAGCTCTTTAAAGAAAATGTTTATATTTAACATTTCAAAGTATCTTGATGTATAATTATGCAGATATATTTAAGGTAAATTTATTTTAAATTGAGGTGTATAATACTAAGTTGAAGAACAAAGTTTGAAGAAATCTCTCATTGGCCCAAGTGCTATAAAAATAAAATTTCAGAAAAGAAATGTCTCAAATCTATGATGTAATCTTGAAATCTAATAAACCAAAAAAGAGAAAGAAATCAAACCCAAAGCAAACAGATGGAAAGAAATAACAATCCTAGGAACCAATGTCATTAAAATATAATGGAGGAAACTGTAAGGCCTGATTCGGCTATGACTCCCAGTACTCAACCTGTCTGCCAGCAGAGGCATTGTTCTCAGTTCAGCACTGGGGCTGCCCTCAGCAAACACAGGATGTCTTAAAAGAGGTCAGGTGGAACATGGACTCTTACTAGCACCTTAAACATTCACGCAAGACATGCCAAGGACTTTGCCCACCGAGGCATGAAACATCCAGAGAACTTTGACCACTGTTGCTTACTAAGATCTTCCTGCCTAATGTCTCTTGCATTCTTTCAAGCTCTATTAAAATAAAAAAAAGCTCGCATCTCGTTACTCCCTACCCTTTGCTGCCTGTACCCAGGTACAATAAATTCCACACTGTGTTGCCTTTACACAAGCCTGGTGGTCTTGATGGTCTCTGCCTTGTGCTGTTCTTTACAGAAACAATAATACTGAAAACTGATTCCTTGAAAAGTTTCAGATCACATTGATGAATCTTTTTCCATACTATTCAAGAAAAAAGAACATATACACAAATTGCCAAAATAAGGAATAAAAGATATATCACTCCAGCTAAAAACATACATTCCAATAAATTCAGCAACTTAGATAAAACAAATTAGTTGAAAGACAGAATTACTGATGTTCATTTAAGAAGAAATAGGTAAATAAAATAGTCGTGTATCTGTTAAGTTAATTGTAGAAGAGAGCTTTTTTCTGGGCTACTTAAATACTAAATAGATTATACATAGTGATTTCATCTTCTGCTTGTTTGATTATTTTATTTCTGCTTTTTATTTATTTTTTATTTTAAAGAGAAAAGAATAAAAACAAAATAACAAGAGGCCAAAACAAAATAATACAAAAATAATAAAAATGATACACAATTTCAAAGCCAGATGACAGGAAATTAACAATGGTTGTTGTATTTCATATTGTCATCTTGAAAGTAGTTGCTGAGATTATTAGACATAGGCATGCAAGACTGATCAAACAATTAAACATTAACTGTTCCTTTCAATAAACCAACAGAAATTAATAGTACAATTAGCTATTTTGTGTGTGTGTGTATATATATATATATATATATATATATATATATATATACATATTTATACTTTTCCCCTCCTTTTTTAATTTTCTCCTTTCCTTCATCCCAGTTGTTCTTTCCTTTTGAGCAGTTTCTTTCTCTTTCACACAATATCTATTGTACCTTTCAGATTTATTCTTTCACATTCTTACACTAGGGAGATAATACAAGCAATGCAAATTAAAACAACACTGAGATTTCATCTCACCCCAGTAAGAATGGTTATCATCAAGAAATCAACCAACAACAAACGCTGGACGGGCTGTGGGAAAAAAGGAACCCTTCTTCACTGTTGGTGGTAGTGTAGACTGGTGCAACCACTGTGGAAATCAATCTAGAGATTTCTCAGTAAACTAGGATTAGAGGTCCTACTCAACCCAGCTATTTTCCTTCTGGGTATTTTTCCAGAAGAACTGAAAACATCATACTACAGTGATATATGTGTACCCATGTTTATAGCAGCACAATTTGTAATAGCTAAATCTTGGAAACAACCCAAATGTCCATCCCCTGAGGAATGGATAAAAAAGATGTGGTATTTTTATTCAATGGAGTATTACTCAGCTATAAAGAAAGATACACTAGAGGCTTTTATAGGTAAATGGATGCAACTATAGACCATACTCATAAGTGAAATAAATCAGACCCGCATGTGTATTTCTGCTTTTTAAAAAACTTACTCTGTATACCATGCTAGTCACCTACTTGAAATGTACCAGTTCAACCGTTTTAGCATATTCATAGACATGTACATTGATCACAATTTCAGAGTATTTTCATCACTCCTAAAAGAAGCACTATACTACCTAGTTATCATCCTCCAAGCCCATCTCCTTTTTTTATTAGAGAAACAAGTTATCTATAAGCTAGTATCACACACTGATTAAAGCATATAGCAACATACTGATTATTCCACCGAGTGCAGGTAAAACTTGGAAAAATATGTAAGAATATATTTTTGCTGGAAATTCTCAACAAAACAGAAATAAAAGTAAGCTGTCTTAATTTGACTAAGGGCATTCACGAGACAATCTATAGTTAACATCACTCTTCTGGTATAAGATTGAATGTTTTAAGATCCAGATCAAGGCAAAGATGTCCATTCCAACCAATTCTACTCAAGATATTATTGCAAGACTTCATCAGTATAACACAATAACAAAAGAGGTTGCGGTTTTTTCCTCAGGGACAATGTTTAAATTGCATCTAAATTTAATTTTTAAATAAAAAAATAGAAAGTTATTGCATTTCAGACGAAATTTCAAGAAAACTACAAAGAATAGTTATTTCAATAAAATTTACTGAGTATATGTGTGAGTGCGCCAATGATGGGTACTTGTACTTGGTTTTGAAGAAGCAGTGATTCAGTGAAAAAGATTAAACATACATGTAGTTAATCATAACAAGAGTGAAGACAAGAAAAGGCACATATATACTATGGAGTTTAGCAAAATAAGCAGTGCTTTTTGGGGAAATAAAGAAGAATCCTTAAAAAGGTTGTGTTTTTTTGAATGGGGGGCTGTGAACAAAGCTGCTAACTGATGTGGCGCAGCAAAGTAAATGATTAAGTTAGTTTTACAAAAGCTAACAACAGCCCCAGGTATAGAGTGCTTTTTCTTGTGACTTAAAATACTAGGTAGATTATACATTAATACATCTTTTAGATAGTTCATCATCTAATTAAAGTAAAAAAAATCCCAAAAATGGCATTTAAACTATTACTACATATCCATTAAAAATATAAAGAAATGGGTTACTTCCCTGAACAAAGGGAAGAAAATGAAAAGGGCAATAAATTTTTAGAATACAAATAAATACATTGTATACTTTTTCCTCTCCTTCAGGTGATGACAAAAGTGCTTTTTCCTCTTGTTCTGGGGTAGGCTCTGCATCTCCAGAGATGAGCTTTCCAAATACCTGATGAAGAAGGTAGGCACAGAAGAAAGAAGGCAAATTACTGCTGTGAAAGTTATACATTAGCTGATTATTAGTTATCATTAGCTGATTCTACAGGTTTTGTCATGTGCTGTTCTCCCTACTGACCAATACTTTTAAGAGATGTAAAAATGGGCCATATTTATAGCCAGAAATCTAGTTTTACAAAATATTCTGTTACACTCTCAAAATACATTAGATCAGTCTATCCTGTGCTAGAATGCATAGAAAGAACACTTACTTGAGATGTTATAAGTCTGAATACTCGTAGCGTCTCGGCTTCACAGTTTCTTTGCTGGGCCACGCTAGCTGAAATCTGCCCAGCAATTTTTGTGCTTTCTCCATCTTTCCAACCCAAGACTTTTACTTGTCGAACTCTTAGTGTATTTTCTGGGCCCTTTAATTCAATTTTGATGATGTGATTATCTCCTCCTGGAAGTTCACTTGTTACCCAACCAATGTGCCTGGAATCCAGATCAACCTAGTTGAGCAGAAGAGGAACAGGAACCTGACACAGCTGAATCACTTTTGTCACTTTACTATACTTAATATTAATAAGAAGCAGCTCAAATAACAAACAGCTGAACACAAAGTAAAGGTTATTAAGTTATTTTGCACTGTCTTTAAGTTTTATAAGGACAAGTAACATTACTTATAGGAGGTATAATATAAAAGAAACTGAAGTTAACACAGATTGAAAAATTCAAACTGATGGAATATAAAATTAACATCCAGTTCTGACCACCATCTCCCTTCTAGTTCAAGTTATGAGAGGAAAACCACTACCAACAATTTGCATGACTTGTAGACACAAGATCGGCAATGTGGTCCCACTTTGTGCATCTATACATTAAAGTTCTATCAAGAGATATATATTTTCAGTGTGCTGTCATTTAGTATGTTTTAGAGAAAAATTGTATAATATGTAAGGTTATGGTTTTTTTTATTTCACTGACTATCTTTATTCAAGTATAAAATGTTAATATACTATAAAATAGTTTTTGACATAAAAATGAAATTAAAACTGTTCTTATGTTATCTGATAACCAAGAAATGATCTGGGAACTTGTACATGATTTATATAAACATTTAGTTTGTATGATGTCAATTTTTAAAAGGAGCATTAGGTGTGAACACTATCTTGCTAAGTAGGTTATTTTCATAAATTCTTTATAACTTGAAAATATATTATTTGTTAAATCTAAAATCTCAGTCATTCTTTCAATACAGCTTGAAACATCACCACCACCACCACCACCCCTAAACTGGTCAAGTTTTGTTAGATAAAGAAACCCCAGGAGAGTAGTTTGGACAAAATTTCATAAATTAAGGTATGTAAGGAAGGCATGTGCCCACATAAAGCTGTCCACAGTTGGCTGTAAATTGATTTGCAACCTGCATACAGTTGCAGTGTTGGAAATGACAGATTTTTTAGGCTGGAGGATAACAACCCTTTTACCTACAAAGTACATCAACTGGGGTGTTGTGAATCAGATCTATGATAAGTTATAAGGCACCTGAATCATTGTAAGGAAGTGGGGAGTTCGAAACTCCAGGCACAACACAATTGCTCACAACTGCAGATTTAGGGCAATAATTGTGCGATGTCTGGAATAGAGATGCTTGTTACAGTACTCAATATAGTCCAGTTGTCAAATTAGTGTTTTGTAAATAGGTGATTTTCTACAGTACTTTGCTAGTGTGCTAAAACTGAAATTTAACAGTGAAGGCAGAGAAGTTTCTCCCTAGACAGCAAAACATTTAATGATAAAATTTTAATTACCTGCTTTATTCTGCACAAATCTTCTACTGCTTTGCCACTTAAGAAGGTCATCGAGGTAACTTTATTCTAAAACAAACAATTCAAAATAGTTATCCTACATTCCTGCCTCAGCACCTACACTGATTTCTTACAAGTTATCAATGCCACATCGACTTTTCTGCCTATTTTTAATAGTTCTTTCCTAACTGACCTCACATAATCTATCCAATTAATTCCTACAACTCTGGTTTTATTCTCACAAACTCTATCTTATGTCACACTGTACCCTTTTTTTATGTGTTTCCTCATAGTTTGACATTTCTTTATCCAAATTCTAAACATTCAAATTCTGTGTCTTTACTGTAGCCTTTTAAGAACTCTGCTTGTCGCCCATATTCCACTCTTACTGCTCTATTACTTTTGGAAGCCAAAGGAAGGAATGTCACCATTCTTTATAGGCTTGTGGAAAGGTATTTTGCAGCAGTTCTACCTCTAAAAATACTTGCCTGACTAGGGATGGCAACATTCACTCACAACAAAACAGGTATCAAACAGGGGAAGTTCATTACCATTAAGTTCTGAAAGTGAGTCATGTTGTCTCTAGAGCCTCAGGCCTTAAGGCTGAGTAAATTTTAAGTAAAATATATCAAGAAATATATAGTAATTCCTTGGAGAGCTCTGTACTATAAATGCTATAGGCTGATGCAACTCATATCAACAAATGCTGTGTAGAAGGCACCTTCATGGGCAGTTTGGGGAACACAGATGATAAATGAATATTTTTATGATTATTTCCCCTTACAAAATATAAAAAGTCAAATTGATTGTCATCACTGTTCTGAGGGACAGCATGCCCTAGTGTAAAATGTACCATGAGTCAAAGATAACTGTAATGAGCAGTGAGTTCTAGCCACAAAAATGTTTGAATTATTACACTGGATGTTCTTGTAAGATAATACAGTTAAACCAGTTCAGTCTTGAGCCTGAAGAGGAAAGAAGCTCCTAATATATAGCTAAGCCCCTTTTTCTTGTTCAGGGAAGAAGTGAACCTGCACCGATGCATGGGAGTAAGGGTTACTATAAATGGCAAGGAGGCCTCTGACTGCACATCAGACAGCGGTTTCACATCCAGGTTATCTGAGACCCAACCTACCATTCTGATTCTTCCTGGCAAAGGAACTATACAAATGGATGGGTGCAGTTTAGCAATCGTGCAAGGGGATTCATTGAAAATGAATCTGTTAGCAAGTCATAACCAGTGTGAGGGGAAAAATTCTATCATTTCCCATCAGAGTAATAAAAAAATGGATATTGACCATTATGCATACCTAAACTGTACCAATAAAAATCATTTTCTTTGAAAAACAATCAAAAATGAACCTAGTGGAGAAAAGACTAATTTTTATAGAACCTACAGAGAATTTCTCCACTGAGTTTTAGAGATCTTGAGAGAATCTGATAAGGAGAGTTTAAGAGGAATATATCCAGGTCAAGGAAATAGCCTAAACAAGGGTATGGGAAAAAAAAAAAAAACTATAGATTTTTATTTTGTTTAGCTGTAATCACTGTATATATGTAATCAGACCTCCTTCTAGAATTGATACTTCATAGTATGTGCAATCATATTACTCTGGTTTTAGATTTAACATTTGAGGAATATAAAAATGTTTAGTTAGTGTTATTGGTTTAGATCAAGAATTTCTCCCATGGCCTCATGGGCTCACAGGTGAGGCTTATGGAAAGTGACTGGGTCATGGGGCAGAGGTCCTCTTCAGTGGGTCAGTGGGATCACTGGTGAGTTCAGCAGTTGAATGTGCTCTAGAAGGTGGGGCCTGGCTGCAAGAAGCAGGCCACGGGGGTTGGGGTGCTCTGTTATGATGTGAGCAGCTTTCCTTTGCCCAGATCCTTCCCCATTCTGTTCCTGGTCAGAAGCCAGCCAACCACGGATTAAACTGTGAACCAGATAAACTTCTTTAAGTTGCCAGTGTTAGGTATTAGTGCCAGAGATGAGAAAGTGAGTAAGACAGCAGGTCAAATGCCAAGTAATCTTTTTCTAAACTCAGAAATGAAAATATATGATGACTAACAGTCTGAAAAGAGCTATTGAATCACGAGTTGTTTCTTTTCTTACCCCAAGATCTCGGGAATTATCCACATGCACAGACACATAGCGGGCATTGATTCCTTTTATACAATTGATAGTGATATTCTTTGTTTTGTTTTTATCTTCATCCCCTGATTCCCAAAAGGTTTCTGTGGAACCATCTGTCAAACTGCCAATCATGGCAGGTCGGCTTGAAGTTTTTATGTCAACAATGCTGGTTAAGTCCTTTAAACACATAACTATGCATAACTCCTATTAGAAACAAAGGTAAGTATTCAGAATATCCCCAAATAAATCTTTTATGATGAGAAAACAAATAGGTACATGATAAAGAATCATTTATGATAATTTACAATTTCTTCCATAATACACTGTTGGCTACTCACTATTAGGACAACAAAAGGACAGTAACTATTAAATGACTGACCTGACTCATTGCTTCAAAGCCAGATTGTATACTGATGCTAAAACTCTCTTCACTATCTCCATCATCTGATTTTGACAAAATGTTGTTAATGTGATGAAAGACATTGCTCTGATGGAGGAACTGATGATCAGATTGCTTGAATTTGAGACTCCAACATCTAAAAAAACAACATATAACCAATATATGAAATATTTCCAGAAATATCTAAGGAACTGCTACAGTACCTACTCTTTTGTAGCTAATACTACAAGAGAACATTATGATCTAGTAAAAGATCAAAATTTTAAAACTTATAGAATAAAATCATTGCTATTGGCTTTTTTTGTGAAATAACAGTAACTTCTTTAGAACAAGCTACATTCTAAGGAAAGTTCCATTTAAAATCCTTCAAGGTAAGAAGATCAAAGCTAAGGAGCAAAAAAAGTAATGATTAAGTGTTACATCAACAATGACAGCTTCTCAAATTTATCTATGTGGTAATTCCATACTAATTCATTAGAATATAATGCATCTTGCATGATAATGACAAAGACAAAAAAATCATCTAGTCCACTGGTCTTACTGGGGATATGAGAAGCCCAATCATTCCATGAATTTATTTGTGATATAATTCAATGATCTACTAATAATCATAATCTAAAAATAATGCCAAATTCTGAACAGATTCCACATTAGAGTTATGTGCTATTTCTTAGAGTAGTTTTCAAATTGTCTGCATATAACTGGGATCCATTTTTATTTTTTAAAAATAATGCAGTTCTTTTCTTTGTTTTTATTTATGAGAAATGCGTATTTTTAGAATCAAGGAGCACAAAAAGTGGAATCATTAAACTGGACTGCAACCATCACAACACCACTACATTTGGATTCTTCCCTGTTCTGTTCTTGCAGGGAGGGGGTCACTGCCAAGATCCTAAAGCCAACAAAGTCCCTTCAACCTGAGTAAAAGACTATCTCAAGCACTGACAGTGCTTATTCACAGAATGCACAATAGCCAGAGTTCAGACAGATCAATTACAAAAATCATTAAAAAGAAAGGGGGAGGGGCCTTGCTTATTAAAGATAGATTGGACAGAACATGAAAAGAACATTGGTGGAAGCTCTGCCCCCTCTGTCCTGTGTGACTCATTTCCAGTAGGCATGTGGGGGTGCAGTGATACTTTGCTGTCTTCCCACAGCAGAAATGGAATATTGCAAGTTTGCTAGACAAGATCTCAGAACCTTTGATCTTTTGACAGTCACTGTGCTCCTTAACAAGGAGAGGAAGCTGAGTTAGAACTCTGCCAGAGATTCTAATGCCCAAGAGAAACAGAGGGACAAATATTCTGAGGAATCAGTAGGCTACAACCCTTTGGTTTGAAGAACCAGAGGATAGTTTCTTCTAATGGCTGGACCTACAAGACTCCTTTTCCCTAGAAGCAGGTGCCAGGACTGATTTAATGTGCTTTCAGCTAATATTCTGAGCTGCTGATATGCATAAATCTAGGGAGCAAGTCTCTTCTACTTTGAAGATAGGCACCAATTTTCCACCAGTTCCTTGGGATACTTTAGTGTTCTGCAAAGATGATCTCAGTGTATTTTAAAAGATTGCATTTTGGTCAATTTCTGGTACATGACCCAGGTACAAAGTAACTGGGATCCATTTTTCTTAAGATTCTTTTAAAGTCAAAATTGTATTTTTTCCCCTAAGATTTCATTTGCTGTCGTTCTTTCTGTGACCTTCACATAATTTGAGAAGACAGATAAGGAAAAGTAAGGATCACCACTTATAGCATCAAGAAGTATATTATCCACACTTTACTGAAGGGCAAAAAGGCATGAGCTAAAGGGAAGGATAATTCTAAATCAGGACAGGAAGGAAGGAGGAAGGTATCACTTATATAATGTAGGAATTCTCTGTAACTATTTAAAGAAATTTTTCAAGCATTTAGCACTTGAATACTCCATAAAACTTCTTTGCTAACAGTACCTACAATACTTAAGATACAAAATTACCTTAGGGCCATTTGCTGCAACGAACTGCCACTAGGGAGAGACATCATAAGATCAGAGATTGTTTGAAGTAAACGGTGAAAAGTATGCGGTAAAGGATGAGCAGCTTCGCCTGCAATCACTATATCTGAGAGTGGATGTTCACACACTCTTGTATCTTTTTCCTAAAATAGAAATTGAAAGCAAGTTTATTAGTTTGTTGCATAGAGCTTTCTTCACAAAAGAATATTCTGTATACTTATACTATACCCAATACATATGTAATATTACCTAACGATACTTCTATTTCTAGGAAAAAGGGTTACTCCCAAATAAAATCAGCAAAAAGAAATGAATACCATATACACATATCAATTCCAGTATACTCACAAATCTGTTAGTAGAATAAATCTGTGTGTGTACACATGTATACACATGTGTGTATATACACAATATGTACATTTATGTATACTGTGTGCATATATTCATGTATGAAAAAATACCACATGTGTAGACGCTGGGGTTAGCACTAGTTCACACATTTTTATATGCGTTAGACACAAATCTTCCTTAGATAGATGGATCACAGTTTAGGAAGAAAAACATGCACTGGACTTCATTCCACATTCAAACCCTCAGTCAGATGGCTCTTTGAATAATGTTATCTATAGAATAATATTTATATTGGAAAACTATTAGAGTACTTTAAATCCCCAAAGGAGATTCTTAATATCAAGGAACTCATCCTTACAAGGAATGCAATCATTATGTAATGCAAACATGTACTAATAAAAAATTAAAACTGAACAAACTCATCAAAAGCAACTATAGTGCTTGGCTAAAACTGGAGCCTTACAGAATACACAGTATGGTAGATACATTTTAAAGTAGGGGTTGGGGGTTGCAAGAAGCACACAAGTACAGGAGCTAAAGAGGCTGCCCCTGAACCTGAGTCAAGGGGGAGAATGGAGAGCAAATGCATGATCAAGGAGGGGCTGTGGCCAGAGCAGGATGCAGGCCAAGTTGAACTGCAGAGATTTCTTTCTAGCTCAAGCCAATTGTTCCTGCCTGGGGAAGCCAGATAACAAAGTGTGTTCATGGGTCCTTCTAAGGCAGAAATAAAAGCAAGTTTATTATCTAATGGGAGGGGGTAAAATATTGTTATTTTTTTTAAAAGGTAGCTTTAAAATATTGTAAATAAAAGTGTCTAAGAGAACTAGTCTGAGTAATAGCAATTTTTTTTTTTCCTGTTTCAGTAGGTCGGCACTTTCTTTTTAAAAGATTTTTTGCAAAAAAATTGTGGTCATTTAGAAAAAAAAATTACTATTCAATGATAAAAAGCAGTCTTGCTTAGCTTTTCACATTAAAATTTTAGGTCCATTCAAGCAAAAATATGCCTTTCTTTTCATTAGATAAGTTTTAATTAGAGTCATATTTCTTGAAGTCGTACCACACATTTCTTTGCAATGTTTCCTCTGCTGAAGGACTCCTGAACATACTATACCACAATCTAAATCCAGCCTGTGGTATGCAGCGCAACTTGCTTCAGTCCCCCTAGTCATAAGTAATCTCTCCTTTTGTTTCAAATAAATATTTTTATGACTGCACTTATTTTACAAGGAAATAAACGGTGTAACATTTATATCATATTAGGTCATTAAAAGTCCTTAGTAAGCAGTTATTATTTTAGTTATTCCAAAATTTTGCATATAGTATATAAGACTTGCTGAATCTGCTTAATAACAAAAGTAGCTACCGTTACAGACTGCCTATCATGATCCAAGTTTCACAACTGGTTTCTCATTTAACATGTTTATTCTTTTGAGCAGGTAATATAATCATAACGAAAAATTCAAAAGGTCTAAAGAACACCATAAAAAGTAAATCTCCCTGTCCCAATACTGCAGCCACCCAAGTGACCACGTCACTGGCAATTCCTATTTTAGTATATCATATATGTATTATCCAGTTACAAAAATAACAGCACTTTCTAGCACAGTATTTTTTTAACAATAATTTACCATGGTGATCATTACTTCTTATATATGTATGCAATGTATATTATTTTGCTGTGTAGTATTCTGATGACTACAGATACCAAAGCTTATTTCATCAGTCTACCCCAGAATAGTCATTTAGGTTGTTTTCAATCTTTTGTTTTTGTAAGAAACTCAATAATGAATCACTCTGTACATGTGTCATTTTATATGTGCATACATGATGCAGAAATGGAATTACTGCATCATTTTAAATGTGAATTTCAGAGATTTTGCCAATGTTCTCCAAGAGGTTGTTATTCCACAGCAACATATAAGTGTGCTTGTTTTTCCATCCTGTGACCAGTTAAAGTTCAATAAACTTTTTGAGCTATGTCAGTGAGCTAAGTAAAGGATGGTCAATTTTGCCTTCTTTGGATGTCTATTAATTATGTATTACAGAAGTCCTGGGTGACATTATCTTTTTTTCTAAAGGGTGCTGTGTTTTATTGTTATAGGAAGATTTCAGGTGATCTAGATTCTATCAAGGCCTGGCCTTCAACTTTGTCAGATGGGCGTATTTCAGTTCTGCACTTGACTTTATACATTGTGCTCACTGGTAAGGTATGATCCTCTGGCATGGCCTCTCTAGGATCTCACCTGCATGCCAGGGGTGTTCATCACACTCACCCCACCTGTGGATGTGCTACAACATGAATGTCTTCCCAGCTACAGATTATTTCTGGGATAGTGTTGCTCTGTTTATCTGTCATATGTTTTGTGGTAACAGTATATATCTTCCAGTTGGTTGTTTTATGACTGAGTTCAAAGAGAAGTGAGCATCTTTGCTACAGAGAAAACCAGCACTATGTATAGCTAATAGCCCACAGCATTAAAATATTACTCTTTTTTTTAGGTTAGATAATCTGAGAATGACTTCATGCGAATCATTATACTACCTAAAAATGTACTATTCAGTTTCTATAAAAATATGGGGAATTAAAACAAACAAAAGCCTCATTTACTTGTTCTGAATTTTCTTTATTTGTTTTATTTTCTTCATCCTCTTCTTCCTCTGGTTCCACTGGAGCAGGAGTCAGGGATGCCACAAAATGCCATAGGATGTCATGGAGAGAAGTTGTTTGAATGACATTGCACAGAAGCCAGTTGAATGCCTGAATAAATTATGATCAAATGAGTCCAAGATAAAAGAAAACATATGAGGTAAAAAATGTAGGGTATTGCTTACTTAGAAATGCAGTACCCTCCAGGGACTACATGTTTCAAGAAAAGATGCTAGAAAATCTGAACTTCATTTCACTGGAAGTACACTAAATCTGAAATAGTGATTTTGGCCTTAATTTGCACAAAGAGAATGGTGGAAATAATATTTGTGAAAGTTTTTCTTAGTATAGCGTATTTTTTTCCAACTTGCACTTAGGATCAATACAGAATGTTTTGCAAGTCTACATAACCTATCATTTAAATATCTGTACTGATCCCATCAACCAAGTGGCAAGCTATTTATCACATGATAATAGTAAAGAAAAATATACTACATATAGGCCTGTGCACATAGCAATCCTGTCATTCCACAAATAAGCTGTTATGGGTAACTTTATAACTTAAAAAGCCAAATTTTTCATCCTCTTTGCATGGTTATTCTGTCACTTCATCCTTGTGAAATGATAGTCTGAATATAAAAGTTTTCAAAAAGATTAGTATCAGGATTCAAATAATAAAGTAATACAGAAAGTTATTTCTAGTAATTATGGAATTCCAAGTTTATATCTGTAAACTTTAGAGTTTAATTTTGATGCAAACAATATTTTCAGTAAGTTAATAGCTTTTAATTTGGTGCAATTTGGTAAAAAAGTAGAATCATTAATAGAATTGTCATATGATTTGTATGACCCATGAATTTGTAATTCCATTAACATATTCATACCTCCATAGCAAAAACTCGACAAGCAGATTTCCTTAAGGCCTGTTTCATTGCTATTTCAAGACCTTCTAGATCGTGATGCTGTATAACAAAAGCTAAAACTGGCCACTGGAAATTTCGTTCTCCTTTGGAAAGAGAACTGTGGGCTGAAATTAGCCGAGAAAGCTCAGGTGATGGGTGTCTCAAAAGGGAAGAACCAACTTCTATTAAAAAAAAAACAAAAGAAAAAGAGAATTATTAATTTTCATAGGTAATACATTGGCTACTATATTTAAATAAATATCAAAAATAATATTTAGCTTATTCACTTTAGAGACTTTTCTTTTGCACATGACACAAATTGTACTATTTTAACATTTTCTGAGGAAGAAATTGAAGCTAAGCACTAAGCCTGGTGGTGCATGCCTGTAATCCCAGCACTCGGGAGGCTGAGGGAGGATTGCTGTGAGTTCGAGGTCAGCCTGGACTACAAAGTGAGCTCAAAGCCAGCCGGAAGTGCATAGAGAGACTCTGTCTCAAAAAGACAAAAAAAAGAAACTGAGGCTGAGAAAGATTCAACATTTTAGTTTCTTAAAGTTATAAAGCTATTAAGTTATTGCATGGGTTTTGAATACAAGGCTGAATTCAAAGTTTAAGCTTTCTAAAATATTCTAAAATCCAAGTGAATTATGTTTTCCCTAAGTGAAATATACATCTCATCTCTATTATTTTGTAAAAGACTGCTTTATAACAAAAGTGTCTGGATAAACGCTCCAAAATATTTGTTGAATCAATCTATAAATCATCAAGGGATGCTCAACCATATTTTTCTTAAAGATCTTCAGTCATCTATTTTATGCTAAATCTCCAGTTTAATAAGCCATATTATCCTTTTCTCCTGAGTTTCTTTGATTATTTTTGGGGTGAAACCTCCAGCCTCAATTTGAGGCTATTGACAACAATTGGTCCAGATTATATAACTGTTTACTGATTACGAGTTACTCTTGTCTCAAAATTTTATAGCAACTCAAAGTGATGAACATCTATTATCAGGGTGGGGCCTGAATGTATAAGCTATGTGTAAGCTGGAACTGCTGGTTTACTGAAGCTTTGTGGAAGGGTTAATGGTAGCAACAGTTGGCTTAGACAGCTAACAAGTAGGATGGTAAAGATCAATTTATTCTTGAAAAAGAATCATCGAAAGATCTCTGGATATCTCTTCTAAATGTTATGCAAAATTTAGAGAAATACATTTGTGCTTGCGTCATGTAGAAGGAATGTCTATGACAGGCTAGAAATTAATGCATTCTTTCCCATTTAAATATCAGATTTAAAAAAAATTATCTGCAAAGCAAACACTTTTCTTTGTACTTTTAGTAGCTGAATCACTCAGTTTTCCTATTCATCTTTATACTTACCAGTGTCTCCACTGTTAACTCTTCTCCTAGGGATAGCTTTAACTCGTGCAGGTAAAATGGAGTGTTGTTTATCATATTCAGAAGCAACAACTGAGTATGATCTTTGGAAGACAGTTCTCTTTGCCAGATCAGTATCAGTTATAGGACTAGTTTCCAAACTGCAAATAGAATAAGAACACAGGTAAAAATGTAGAAAAAGTGAATAAAATATAACTATGCTTAAAATACTGTACTCAGAGACTTACATCTAAATTTTATGTGAAGAAACAAAGCCAATTTACCAATCTCTTTAAATCATATTTTGAATTTCTCAAATACAATAACATTTTGATTGATCTCAGACCTGTATCTTTTTAAAACGGTACTGGTACTCTGCACTGAGTTATATTCCGGCCCTTTTTTATTTTTAATTTTTTTATAATTTTGACAGTTGCCTAGGCTGGAGTCACTAAGTTGCCTAGGCTGGATTCAAAATTGTGATCGTCCTACTTCAGCTTCCCAGAGTGCTAGGATTACAGGCAAATGCAACAATGCCTAGTTTAGAACTTTATCATAAAACTTGTGGTTTTGCCAGCTATTCCTTAGGCAGAGGACTCACATATACCGTATATAAAGAACTAAAAAAAAATTAAGACCCCCCCCCCCGAATCAAAGATCCACTCAAAATATAAGCAAGTGAAATGAACAGGCACTTCACAGAAGTACAAATGGCTAATAAATACACAAAGAAATGCTCAACATCAGTGGCCATTACAGAAATGCAAATTAAAACAAAACTAAGATACCATCTTATTCCAGGGAAAAAGCCATCATCAAGAAATCAAATAATAAGTAAGTGATAGAGATGCTCTGGGGGAAAAGGAACCCTTACTTACTGTTGATGGGAAAGTAAACCAGTAAAAAACACCAGGGAAATCAGGATGATGATTCCTCAAAAAAACTGAAACTGAAATAGTTGAGTCTCCCCAAAAGAGTTGAAGACATCCTATTACAGGGATACACACGTACCTATGTTTATAGTAGCACAATTCATAATAGCTAAATCTTAGAAGTGGGCTATGTGTCCCTCAACAGATAAATAGAAAAATAAAATGTGTTATTTACACACAGTAGTGTACTACTCTGCCATAAAGGGTAAATTTGAGTCATTTGTAGGAAAACAGATGCACTTTGACACCATAATGTTAAGTGAAATAAATCAGACACATAAGCTTAAATATTACGTAGTTTCCCTTATATGAGAAATGAAAAGTATAAAGAAAGTATAAAGGAAGAAAAATAAAAGGTAATAGGAAGGGAGACAGATCTTTCTCAAAGGAGAAGCGGATCAAGATATGGAAGGAAGGGGAAGGAGATGAGAAAAGGAATATGTGTTCTGTATACTACCAACTTCACACAGGAATCTAAACATTATATACTGTAAATATGTACTACAAAAAGAGAAGGGGATCAAGAGTTGGGTGTGGGGGGAAAGGGAAGGCAGGGAAAGGGGATGAAAAAAGGAATTAGGATGTGTGACATACATGTACCAACTCCTCACAAGGAATGTAGACATATATTATGTACTATAACATGTACTAACAAACAAACAAGAAAAACCCGTGTGGTTTTCTTAAATCTATTTTGCATTTCAAATTAAAAAAGAAGGTATCAAACATTCTAAGCTCCTTTTAGAATCAAAAGCATTCTAAAAAGCATTTAGAATGAAAAGGGTGAAACCCACATATTAAGGTATTCAGGAAAAAACAGACATAATCAAAATACAAAGAAAATGGGTATGTACACATAGAATCCTCAGAAAACAGAAAGTGTAAGTTGGTTTATTTTCCTTTTGGTGTTTGAGCACTCTATAAGGTTTCTCACTCTTGAGAAGTGTGACCCAAAGCTCCTTTTTGATTGTATAAAAATGGAATGAGAATTAGTAAACTGATTTTCAGCATCAGCTTTATATTATACTTACATTCTATGTAACAATTCAGAGATTTTTCACTCAGGCTTAAGTAAACTAATAGCCTTCCTACTTACGGTAACATTATAAAATATTTAAAATTTTATTAAGATGACTATATAACTTTCTTTATTGAGACATTTTATGAAGAACAAAAATACATTTTTATGATTTCTCTAAGACAAATCTGCAAGCTATTCTTTTTATGTGATTTTTGTTCTGTCACCTCATCTCAAATTGAGACATTTTTGCTTACCTTAGGTTCTGAAGCTGCTTTATTTTCATTATTCAACCCAGGTGTGAAATCCTGTATATTTCAGTAAGCTTATATATTTCCTAATATATAATTCCCTGGGTGGTTTATTCACCACCTGTCTAAGGTAATGTACAGTACATTTTTGTTTAAGTAAAATGCAGTATATAACTAGTGTAAATGTGCCTGGATGTCAATATGGTTCCAGAATGACAATAATGGGATATAATAACTTAATTCAATCTATATATGGTGTTACTGTTTGTTCTGCTTTTAGAGGCAGTTTCATAGCAATTTTAAAAAATCATCCTACAATTTTAAAAAGATAATTTGTTCTTATGAAAAAGATAATGTATGTGGATAAATTGAAGCAGCACAAGAAAACCCAAAGAAACAAGCAAAGATGACCATTATTAATTTAACCTTAGAAAATTTTTTGTTGTGGGGACTGTCTTAATAACACCAGTTTCTACTCACTAGGAATACAGCTGAACTAGCTCTGTTGTGGTAAATCAAAATGTTTCTAAACATTTTTAGCTGTTAGCTGGCAGGCACAAATCACCCCTAGTTAAGAAACATTGATTTAATTAAGTCTTCATTATTTATCATCTTTTAGAATAGCTTGAGTTATTAAGACATTTTTTTTTCAAGAATAGCCCAAAGGTGTTACAATCCCTGAACTACTTATTGTATGTCTGAGAATGTTCTAACCCAAATGAATACAAAATATTTGAGTTATAGTTTCTTCTTTTCTGTAACTTCGTGAAAATTGCCCTTATGTGATCTGTACAATTATACTTTCACTATATACATCGTTTGTAAAATATGCTTTTTATTAATTATTTGATCAACCCATAGTTAATCATGGGTTTCATGATGGAAGGATTTAAAAAAAAAATTACAATATGAAGCCACATGTGTTAAGGTTCTCAGGATTTTTTATATCTGAGTATATCTAGTTCAAATATATGATCAGTATGTCTGAGATTGGGTAAATCTTCTAAAGTAATGTTTTGTTTCTTTTGGAGCTTTAGAGATATGATTTCTTTTTTTCTTTCATTCAAAGTTGTGCTATAAAAATCTGAATTCAGTCTAACTTTTCTTCTGACTTATTTTTCCTTGCTAATTCCTTGCTAAATCTAATTCAATACATTTTTATTTTAGAAGTTCTATTTTCTTTAAATAATTGTGGGATTTTCTACTTCAAAGATGTAAGTAATTCTCATGTTGGGTTATCCTAGTTGTCATATCTATTATCTTCTAACTGCTATAATCTTCTTTGTCCTTTTTTTTTTTCACCCATTTTAAGTCTCAAATCTATCCTTTGTAATGATAACTGAATTTACTGTTCTAAACATTTTTAATTAACATAACAGTGTTGATTTGGTCTTTGATTTGTTTAGTTAGCCCTGGGATGTATCTTTTTGTTTCATCCTGCTGTTTTTTAAAATCCCATTTTCACATTTGAACTTGTTTTATTAAATTCATGTCATCATTAAGTTTTTACTATTCATAGTACTTATAGTAGTCTTTTTACTAAGATGAATTTTCTTCTAGACTGGCTCTTTCTTCTGACTTCTGAATGGCATACTGGTTTTATTCTGCTAATGCTTTAAAATAGGCAGCTCTGTTTAGGTCTTCAGATTGTTCTGAGAAATTATTTGTAGACTTTCCTAAACTTCTTTTTCCACCACACTTGACACATGTTTTGTTCCCCTACTAGAGATAAACTGAGAACTTATTTAATGTTCTGTGCCAGAGAGAGATGATTCTGTGGTAGCATTCCGTAGTCCTTAGATTATTGTTTTGCTTTAGCATGCAGTTGTGGAAAACAGGATTCCTTAGAAGAGTTCCAATCTCTGGTGTGATTCCAAAGATGACACTGGGCTTCTACATTAGAAAATTCTACCTTGACCTTTTTCTGGATCTTTACTCATCTCCTAAATCCACTTTTCATTAAACTGGAAGATACTCGGTTTCTCAGCATCTCCTGTTAATTTTCATGGCCATTATTTTTGGAAATTTATGGCAACTTGCGTAGCTGGATCTGGTACATACTTTTTCTCATTATTTAAAAAAATTTTTATTGATTACTTGGGATGAGAAATTCTCTTACATAGCTTCATCTCTTAATCTTTGCCTAGAAATTCATGCTACTTAATTTTGATCCTAAAAGATAATAATAACCTAATGAGTCACATTTATTAACAGACCAGTCTCTAAATGGTCTCTAACCCTTAAAAGGCATACCTCCTTTAGAGATATTTTATCACCTTTAAACATATGGACGGCAGTAATGTACTCCTTGGACAAAATGTCAGGAGTAGCATCAAAAGCAAACAAACAAACCAACCAACCTGAGGAGCAATCCACACAAATGAGAGGGGAAACTGCAATTATTTTTAATGGAAAACTATTTATTTGGATATATAAATTCTAATACGCTTATTAAAGTATCTAGTATCATAGTTTATGATAATAATACAATATTAACATCCTGGCACCCCCGCCCCTTCTTCCTAAGTACTGGTGACTGAACCCAGAGCCTCATGCTTACTCTGTCACTGAACTCGATCACCAATCCTTTTATAATTTTTGAGCCAAGGTCTCACGAAACTCTTAGGTTGGCCTCTATGCAGCCCCACTGCCTAGCCTTCTGAGTAGCTGTGATTATATAAGCATGCACCACTGCACCAGTGCAAGTGGCATATCTTAATAAGCATGCTGTCTGTTTCTTCACAGAAAGTATCTTTCTTTCACCGACAACATCTTCAGTTATTCATTCCTGAAAATTTCATGTTATCTTAAACGTTTTTTCTCATTATCCAGTTAGTTGTCAAGTCACACTGACATTTCCTAAAACATATCTCCTTTATCCATCTTTGTTTCCATAATCATTGCCAGTGTAACACAGTTCCACATACGTAGCTGAACTCTTTGACTACATTTATTGGCTTCTTACATGACACTGTGAGACTGTCTTTGCATTTTTATCTTGCCACTCCTCTAACACTTTTAGTAGTACTCAATTTCCTTGTATGTCACAGTTACATGTTTATGTTCAGTTTTTAAGAAGCTCTTTGCTTTCACATTATCACACCTGAGGAGACACTGTAAGCAATAATCCAGAAAGGTTTTTATTTTCAGTGCCACTTCTCTCAAGAAATGTGTAGGTGCTGCCTCAAAATAACATTCCCCTAATCTGATTAACTACAACACTAAAGGATATCATATAATGTAATCTTTTCTCTCCAACTACTTTGCCTCTCCCATCAAGGGGTTAGGTATATTCATACATGAATGCTTTTTTGTACCATTTACTGAGCTGGTTCAATGTCTTTCCTGTGACAGAAGGCTATATTAAAGAACTTTCAGAGTATTCTTTTCTAGTTCAAAGTATTTCTTCCATCAAACATTCGCTATTCAACAGGCAGGTGAGAAGTAAAATACCTTGGTGGCATAGACTTCATATTGCTCTCTGGCTCTTCAAATACATTAGGACTTGCATCAGGAGTTACGGATATATATGGGGCAGGTACAGATGTTGAACGCAGATATCTCATTTCATCCTGGAATAGGTTGTCATCCTGATAGCCCACAAAATTTTCATGATGATGCCTGCAATAAATCAAACCCAAAAACTTAAGTCTATGATGGCAATATGGAGTCTGTGCATTTTTAATTCCTTTCTAAAAGACAAAACAACACATGCAAATCTATAAATGAAGGTGAAGTATTAAAATAATCACAGATGCAGGTAGGCAGAAACACAGGTCTGCTAATTTTACACAGATATTCTGGGTACCATAAACATTTCAAATCCAAAATTGAACTGATTTTCTTTTGTTTTGAGAACACTTTCATTTGGTGAATAATCCCACCAATCATCCAGGTGCTTAGGTTAAAACATCTCAATACTGTCGTAGGCTTACCCCTCAGTTGTCACTAGTCACTCAGGCCCAAGATACTGGGCCTTTTCTCACAACTGTTCTCTCTTCTCATGACCCCTCACTGCCATGATACAGGGTCATATCATTTCTCACAGGGACTAATAAAATACAGGCAATCACTCTTTGAGAAGAAACATATATAGGTTAAATTTGAAAAACATTAGATATGTCAAATGTTCCATGGGCTAGGGGGTATATAATCCCAAGAGAGATAAACATATAAAAATCTATAATTATGCTATGTTAGCATTTTTAGATGTTTTGCAGTTTGAATATTTACTTTTCAAACTGGTACAAAAAGTTGCTAATCTTAGTCCACTGAATAGTCTGATACTAAAGATATGTTGCATTTCACAGGCCTGATAATTTTCGGCTTGGTCTCAAATGTACTCAGTCTCACATTTTCTTTTTCTTTTTAAATTCATCTTACTGCAGTAGTAAGCACAAACATTTTTTAAAAATCATACAACTCTGCTATTTAAAGAGGACAACACTTTTCAAAATGGAACTACTGGTTGGCAAGCCATGCCAGTAGGCAGTTATCTAGAAATCTGCATGTGTCAGATGATAAAAATAAATCTGAATTTGGAATATGAAGACTGTTTTAGGATGTCAGTGATAATATGTGAACACAAAGACGGAAGCATCAAAGTCCAATATAGGAAAACAACGTAATAGGCATTAATAAGCTTCTGTCTATCTTTAGTCATGCCCTTTTTTTGACTTTTCTGAATCAGGTGCCACATTCCACAGGATGATCATTTCACTGCAAGCTACTTTACATATTTCCACCTAATGTTCTTTGTCTGTTTACTCTGTTATAGGATAAAATCCAATCTTAGTGTGAGCCATAGAGCAACATACTACCAAGGTCATCAATTCAGGCAGCATTTCACTACTTCCCCCAATAGCCAATGCTTTAACAAACCTGTTATTCCTCAAATGTGCAATGAGATTTCATTTCTGTCTTCATTCACTGGGGCTGCTCTGCAAGAAATCACTCTTTCCATTATCTACCCAATGAATTGCTATCCTTCAAGACTTGCTTTAGGATCAGACCTTCCTTGCAGCCTTTGTTGGTTTCTCTGGGAAGATTCATGTACTCTCCATTCTTAAGCTCTTGCTAGAGTACTCCTATGTTTGCATGCATTCTGTACTTCTTTTACAGTACTTCTTACATGAAACTGTGAGTGTACTAATGATACCTCTGTCTTGTCACCAGGTGTGAGCATGCAAGGCAGAATTTTATTACATTTATCTTGATGTCTTCAGGGCCCAATACAAACCTGGTACTCAGTTGATACTTATTTAAATGCTAACAGAATGAGCAATTTAAAAAATTAAAGACTTCCATACAAACATAAAACTTTCACACAAATTAACTTCCTTCCACTTCAGCATTTTTCACTACTAATAGATTGAAGTCAGCCTACAGAGAGTAAAAATAGCTATAGTCTTACTTTCACAGACATATTTTATATTAATAATAAGAAACTGACAAAGGACTTCCATGAAATACCTACTAATATAAATGGTGCATCTCACCCATCATGTGCAAGCCAAGGAAAGTCAGAAAATGAATTTTTATAGTTTCTTTATACAACATCTAATATAGCATGAATATTTATATCAAATTGTGATCTACCTTGTGTAAGTCTGTCAACAGTGGCTATTAATCCAAAAAAAGATGAAAAGAAAGTTTTATTACCTAGCTAATGTCTGTAGGTAGAGACAAGGCATTTTCATGGGAAGATCCTCAGAAATGCCCTCTTTCACGCTGGGCAGCTGTGACTGGAATGGCTTTGCAGGATGGTAACACAGAATGCTTGGTTCAGCTGCACTGCTCAGAGACAGCAGGAAAAGGGCATTGGCTTTGATAACCTGGTGAGCCTCCATGGTGGGCAAGGCACGAGGGGTCTTGACTTGCATTGGCTTTCTCCTAGACTGTTTGACCTGGCAAAAAAAAAATTGAAGTGTCTTTTCCTCGTTACACTAAAATTTTTAATTCTCTAAGCTAAGTACTAAGGGTTTGTAATAAAAGGTATGAAAGACTTGTGTAAATATTTAAAAATGAGAGTGATTACAAAAATAGCACTCACTCCATACTTCTCCTGAACTGACTATAACTATTAGAAACTGTATTTTCTTTACTTTCCTTAAAGATTTTAAAAAGTTGTTACATTTAAATATAATTAAAAAATATAAGTAATAAGTGTGTGTAAGAGAGAGTAGAGAGAGGGGAACAGAGAGTGTGTGCATAAAATTTTTTGGTTTGTTATGACACTAGCGTGAATAAGCTTTAAGTTTCCATGAGTTCTATGCTATAATCAGATATTAACAAAAAAAGAAAGAAGATACACAGGGAAAAAAAAGAGGCAAAAAGGAGGAAGACTAAAAAGTGAGAAAGGTGAAGAACAGTAAAAGTTGTGAATATACACAGAATAACAGCAATAATAATTATATGACAATCATTTATCAATAAGACGTATGTACCATAGGTTAACTGTAGTATATTGTCCTAACACATAATTCATTTTAAAGTTACAACAGCTGACTCAGTGCAAATATGTATTTGTATATTATTTTTGTTATAAAAGCTGATCTTTAATGTTAATTATATGGAATTAACTGATGTAACAATATGATTATAAGCAGATTCTTATAAGGTATATCTGTATCATTAACAGTATAACCCAGAATGGAATAAAAGTACCTTCTCCCTTGCAGCAGCTTGTTTTTCACGGAGGTATTTTTCTCTACAGCGATCACATACCAGATACCAAGTGCTTCCTCCTATGCCACCATCACCACAGTTACCAGCCCATCCTCCACAAAAGTGCCCAATGCTATTGTAACCCTGTCCACCAGCATACCGGCCACAACCTTGAAACACAGTAAAAGTAAGACTTGAAGTTCTTTAACAGTTTGATTATTACTACTTATACATTAAAAACAAATTGACCTTATCCAAGCAAGCAAACTACTAAAGATGGTATCTGATATTTTTTAACGTATTAACTGAATCAGAAAATTGGCATGCTTGACCATAAAACAAACTAAATCATGTCCAAAGTATCAGAGACATTTTATTTTTAGACAAGATTAAAGTAAGGGTACCTTTAGGTTAATGTAAGAATACCAATAAAAAGACAAAACAAGTATGAAATATTCTCCATGAGTAAGTTTTCAAGAATCATACATTTACAAAACATTTGAGGTACAATATGTAGAGAGACAAAAAAATCGACCATATCTGTACTAGATGAATTTTGGAATATCAATTAATGTTACAGAAATTCTTATATTTACCTTAAATGCAGTCTTCTAAAAAAACTATCAATAATACTAAAAGAAATAATTTGCAATTTTGAACAGGAAAACACTAAACTTAAAGGAGATATAATATGAAAAATACTGTGATCTGCCCTTTGTTTGGACATGCCATTACTAATATTGTATGAGACCTTAATGGTATTCTTTGAGTAACACAAAGTATCTAAAAAAGGAAATAATATTTCAAAATGTGCTATTAAGGGGCTGGGGATTTAGCTCAGCGGCAAAAGCGCCTGCCTGGCAAGCGCAAGGTCGTGAGTTCGGTTCCTGGTACCGGAGAAAAAAACCAAAAAACCAAAACCAAAACAAAAAAACAAACAAACAAAAAATCAAAATGTGCTATTAGAAAGAAATAATACTAAATTGCTTGACTACTATACAATTAAAGTTTCTCTAGGCTTTTCCACAAAGTTTAATTTTGATTACGTCCTTTAAAGAAGACAATAAAGGATACTATAAATTCTGGGCAACAGTTTCCCTATGTGACATAGTTCATAGGCCAGGTGGAGTTAGGAGTGACCTAGTTCATTAAAACTGTACAGTATTTACATACTTATCTTTAGTGATGTCTTTTACCTGGGTGAGCTTGTCTCATGTGATATGTCACTGGGTATGGATGTGATTCTCCACACAGCTCACAGATGGTGTCTTTCTCTGGTCCTCCTACTGCCAACTGGGCCATCTCCCCAAACAAATTGCCCCTGGGCCTAACTTCTGTCTTTTCTTTTTTCTTTTTTTCCTTCTTGGCCTTCTTATTCTCTTTCTCACACTCTTTCTTTTTAAGAACAGCACAGGAACCAGGACTTGGAAAAATCATATTCTGGGATGCAGCTTTGATAGTAGCCAAAGAGATATCTTCCCAAAAGGCCACTAAATGTTGTAAAGTTAAGGGAAGAGGAGACTTAGACTTCATTGTATGGTGAATGGACATTTCAAAAGTGGCTTCAGTTTTTCCATCCTCACATTTTTCATGTAGAGGTGGTTCCTTAAGCATAGATAGCACTTTATTTTTGTTGATGCTACCCATCTTAGATATATCAGGTCCATGAGGTGCAATATTAAACATATTTAGTGCAGATGATATTTCCAAAGAATGTCTATTTTTTAACTTGGTTTCTTTTTCCTCTGTGGGTTGCTGGCTATTCAAACTACTCCTTATAGGAGCATGTTCTTTGGAAAGTTCAGGATTAAACTTTAGGAAAGATGAACAAGCCATTGCATCATGTACTATGCCTTCATGCCACAGGAAAGCAGCAAAGACTGCTCGGGCACATTCAGCCACTGAAGGAGACATGGCTTGCTTGGCTGGCTCTAACGGTTTGGATCCATCACCTTTGAAAAGAAAACTAGATTTTTCTTTTTTGGGCCTGGTGTGTCTATTAGCACATTTTCGACTTATTTTGGGGGATGCTCTCATTTCCTGTTCATCTTTCAGTGGTGCTTTTCCTATGCTGAAATGAACTTTATTTGAACCTTCATCCACAGTCTTAAATTCACTACTTTCATCACAGGTGCTATCTGTTAGACTGTTTGTTTTTAAAGTACTTGATGTACAGACTTCAACCACCTCACTGTGAAGGTTTTCCTGTACCACATGGGGAGAAGGTGCTCTATTTTCAGACCCAGGGGAGTCTTTAGAGTCCTTTGGTATTGACTTTGGTTTTGGTGATGTGGATCGTCCCCTCAAAGGCTCTGTGAGAGGCATTTTCTTCTTACGGAGGGTATCTGGATCAAGAGTATAGGAGTCTGACTTAGAACGTTCCCGTGGAGGATCAAGTTTTGTCTTCACAGGAGTAGTGCTTTTTTGAGGTAGACTTTTATCTTGTGGTGAGGAGGAGCGTGGTGAACTAGCACCAGATGGGCTAGATCTGCTGGCTGGGAGAGTCTTTGGCTTAGGAGATGATGACCGAGAACCTGGTCCTGGGGACTCGGCTCTGAAGCTAGAAGACATTCTCCCATCAGACTTCAGTGTCTGCAAGGTGTTATGGTTGGGGGACAGTGACCTACTATGGGAATCTGACCTCAACTTTGCAGCATCAGATTTTAACATGAGGGATTCACTTGCAGATAAACCTTCTGTGCCCCTTGGCTTCTTTTGGTCAGCAGTAGTCCGGCTCATGCGTCCATCATGTTTAAGTGATCTGTTGTGTTTAGAAGACAGTTCTGATTTGCCTGATGTAGAGACTGGTCTAGAAGATGCTGAGATATTTCCTCGGTCACCTGTATGGTCGTTTTCATAGTGAAACTTGTTAATAAGTTGTAACACTGATAAGTTAGCCACTAAACACTAAAATAAAAATAGAAGCCATAAAATTTACATTGTCACATAGAAGCATACTTTTAAGAATAAATGAAAAGTGGGAAATATTTCCCACAAAATTTCTACTATATAACACTGAAAACTAATACTACTGAAAACTTGTCACATATGTAGAACAACTATGTACCCATATAAATTATTAGTGATATATGAACCTCAGACCTACCATAATTATTTAAATTTAAATTTAGTGAGACTAGAGAAAAAAATTTTAAAAATATGAAGAAATTATAAAACATATATATTTTCAATATGAAGGAATCAAGTGAAATTTCCAGCAGAGTAAAACATGTACTTAAAGTAATTATATGTCTTGATGCATCTGGAAAACGAGTTTATACATTTATCATTTTCAAGTGTACTGATACTTTTTTTTGGTACTGGGAATCAAACTCAGGACCTCATGCTTGCCAGGCTTAAGTGTAGAGATAAATGTAATTATGTTAATACGGAGAAGCTTTGCAAATATCCTATTTTAATGACTGGATTAGAGTAACGTGAATATCCTAAAATTTAACTGCATGTAATTCAGGTAGTATAATATTTTCAAATAGGTTGTTTTCCAAAAGTTCAGCCAGCTTAACTGATTAGAACTCTTCAGAGCTCATGCTCCTTGGAAACAAGAACAAAGACAAGATGCTTACAACGACCGTGTAAGTCTGAACTGTGGGCCCTCGCAACAAGGAGTCTGGAGAATGACAGAAAAAATAAAAAGAACTTCCCCTTTTTAAGGAAAAGCACTAGAAAATCCCATGTGGCTACTTCCCTGTTACTGTATGCTTTACTTTGGGGACAGGAGACTAGGCTGTCTTTGTCACTAGTAAGTGGTACAACCTTCAAAATTATCTTTCCTCCTTAAAGTAAAAACTCCTACTCTCAGTGCAAGTGGTATTTATTACTTATTAGAAGGAAATCAACCTGAGCAAACTGACTCAAGTGCTATGAAAATCTGAAACCTGGGCCAGGTGTCGTGATGCATGTCTATAATCTCAGCACTCTGCACTCCTGAGGTAGAGGATCACAAGTTTGAGCCCAGTGTGGGAAACTTAACGAGACCATGTCTCAAAATAAAAAATAAAAAAGAGCTAGGGAGGTAGCTTAGGATGAAAGCTCTGGGTTCAATCCCCAGTTCTGGAAAAAACCGATCAACCTACTGCCTACAACTCTTGCTACAGTTACTTAGGCCTGCTGAAAAATGGTTTCTACGAAATTGTGGTGAATTTGTTACCTGGTTATAGTTGGAGGTTTCTCTCTCTCTCTCTCAGAAAGAAAGGATGTGAACACATTTGGATAATGCAGAGAGATGTTTCTCTTTGATGGTGTGTGTGTGTGTGTGTGTGTGTGTGTGTGTTTAATCGCATTCTTATTACCTGCACATCAGTAGTGCTCAAAAAAGTCCTTCTAGTGCAGGTGTTTTTATCTGTTACTTTTCAGTGATAGAATGGTTTCAGGAATATAGTATGTGCTCATTAAAATTTGCTGAATGAGCAATACATTCTTATTTTTTTTCTACTATTCCCAAACGTTCAGTTCTTTGAGAATTTACTGCTACAACTTTGGATCCCAGGACTACAGAGCAGAGGTGACAGCAGTCATTGTTATATCACCATTAGGTACTTGCAAACTAAGTAATCTTGTAGGAAAATAGAAACTGAGCATTTCAATTGCAACATGCCAATCTCCTGATTCTTTGGATAAAAAGTAACTCTTCTAGACATGAAATCCTCAGTTTCTTGCAATACTTTTCTTTTTATTTATTTATTTATTTATTTATTTATTTATTTTTTCCGGTACCAGGAATCGAACTCATGACCTTGTGATTGCCAGGCAGGTGCTGTGTTGCTGAGCTAAATCCCTAGCCCCCTTTTTTACTGATTGATTGATTGATTGTCGTTTTGAGACAGGGTCTCACTATGCAGTTCTGGCTGGCCTTGAGCTCACTTTGCAGCCCAGGCTGGTCTTGAACTTGCATTGATCCTCCTGCCTCAGCCTCCCAAGTGCTGGGATTACAGGCATGTGCCACCACACCTTCCTGCAATACTTTATTAATCTGTCATGAAGTTCCTTTATGTTTTCTGTTCTTTTGTGTATCTGCAGTCAATAGATTGAACCCAAGGCCTTGTGTATACTAGGCAAGCACTCTGCCTTTCAGCTACATACCCAATCCTATGTGATCTTTTTAAAAATTAAAGACAGTGCAAGAGATTAACTACATTTTGGGGGTAAATTGTTAAAAAATATCACACAAACTGTGATATTGATATTTGATATTGATATTGAAACTGTGTATGTGATATTTCACATACTGATTTTGTCTTGGGAGAACAGATAAATATATGTGGTCTTGATAAACAAGTACTCTCAAACTATTCAAAGGTACTTTAAGAAGCTGCTGCTCATTTTATCTTTTTGACCCAGTAGCAGTACAGAGTAAACTGTATAAACAAGGAAATTACATTTGGTAGAATTAAGCATCAGCCTAGTCCTGGCCACTAATTTTGAGTATGTGATGTTTGGAGTATTAGTTTTTTGATATTAACCTTAGAAATGGAAACATTTTTGTCACCTTCATCATCAATATTTACTCTAAAGGCTGAACCATACACACAATGTGCATAAGTTGTAAATCTTTTATATTTGGTACCACTCTCAATAAATAATTTTTTTCTCTGATTTATTAGAAAGGAGAACTCATTTTAGGATTCCCAAGTTAATGGGAAGACTTCTCGACAAGACTAGCTACTACCTGTCTCAGGTGTGTCCTAACAGCTGACCTGCACATTTGCTGCATGAGTGCTGAATACATTTTGATGCCACATTTAACCCTAGGAGTATATGCACTGAAAATGATGGTGTTTCCTCATAATGAAAATACCTCTGTGGTTGGCCCAATAACAGAATCTGACAGATATGAGGAACATCACTTGTCATATGTGGGTAAAAGTCTGTGATATAAAGAGGGTTAGAAAGCACAGGCATTTTTATACTTCATTTCTATCACTTTAGTAGGGATGAATATTCTCTTAAAATCTGTAAGTAATGACAGCTAATTATCTGGTGGAGTTCAGGTGTATAAATAATAGCAGAAATATTTTTTCCTGAGACATATTTTTCAAATCATAGCTAAATACTTTTGAAAAAATTCTCAAAATATATTTCACATATTTTTTAAAAACAATATGTTTAGTTTGTTAAGTGAGGTAAGTCTACAGGTTAACTAAATTTTATCTTCATGTGGCTTTCAAAAGTTTTGAGCATGTAGTAAATATTTTTGAAAATTGTCATGTTGTGGCTGCCCAAAATACCAATAAATGTAAACAAATACTTTGTTAAAATCTTTCAAGTATACACAATATTTTTATATTCATCACTTAATTTAGTCTAATGATTATATAACATGTAACTTTAAGTGATACATAGACAACAATTTTATAACCTCAAGGAAATATTGAAGAAATAATAATAGGACCTCATTACGATTTGGAGCATTCGAACAAAGTAAATATTACCAAACATGTTAAATATGAAGTCTGCATTCACCAAATCACCCTTATGATTTTTTCATGTCCAAATCATAAATAATCAGATTATATATCATACTCTAACATACCACATTATAATACAGCACCTCAATAATACTATGTATTTATGTACATATATATATATGTAAGGTTACATGCTACTATAATACATGCTACTAGATTATAATATATTCTATATACTACATAGATCAGGTTATATAATCTTATTTAGTGTACTTTATAGAAATAAATAGTATACTGTAATAGTAATAGTACTACCAATTGTACAAAGAAGACATACAAAATGGTTTATTCATTAAGAAAATTAATATTTACAAATATACAACATATTAGAAATTAATGAAAAACTTAAAAAAAATTTTTAAAATACAGGATTTAAAAACTTTAATTAAATATTAAGACAAAAATATTTGAGTATTCCTCTGTAATAAAGAAAAACACATTTTAAAATTTTCTAAAATTTTTCAATTGTCAATAATTTCAAACATTTTTATATTTAAAGTATTAAAACTAATTCACTAAGTATATAAAGATTCATGCCAGAGAGGAAATGTAGGCCTGTGTGTACATGTGTGTGTGTCCTCTGATAACTAAGTTAAAATAAAAAACTTTTAATAGTCAAAATATTTCTCATAAAAATCTAAAATGGTAAAAATACTTTTTACATTGCATAAAGTAAAATGAGCTTAAGACTAAGCTACTGTATCACATTAAATACTACATTTGTACAAGTCACCATGTGCTTTATGTCTTACACATGTCATCTTATTCTGATGTTTTAAATGATTTTAAATGTTTTAATTTTATGTTAAATGTTTAATGTTAAATGTTTTAAAATGATTTCCTAAACTCCTCAAATTAGGCATTTTTCTACATACCTATTTTACTTATTAAGACTGCATAAAAATTTGAAAGTAAACAATAATATTAGGTCACAAATATAACATGTATACTAATTAGGATAATCTGTACTACACTACTGAATAAGAATATACTAAATTACCTCAAACACATAAAAATTTAAATAAAACGATAAACCTTAATTAAAAAGTGGAATGCGATGAAAATGATGAAGGTGAGCTAAAACTTTTTTATCTGACACTTTCTTCATACAATAAGAATGGCCCATCCATGGATGCACGTATACCCACCCTTCAGTTTGTGAGACAGAGATGAGAGAGCAGAGGCAGGCCCAGCTACACCAAAAGTTTTGTAAATGCGCTCACGAGAAGCAAGGCTGCGAGATGGAGATTCTACAGTGGAAAACATTGGCAAAGAAGCGGCACAGATTCAATGGAAAAAAAATTTAGCAGAGAACACAAAAACAAAGCATTTTAAATGGTATGCAACTATGAACTCTTAATAGTTTATATTACGGTATATTTTCAACAAGTTTATACAAATGTAAAACTGAAAGCAAAGGACAAAAGTATTAATATAGATTAATAATATGTGATACTATGTCCAAATACATTAGCTTAAAAAGCTTATGATAAATCAAAGATGAGCATATCTTTTTAGACTAGTATTTCTTTAGCCCAGTTTTCTTTAATTTTGTGCTTATTTATAAACATTTATACATAAATTCTTACTTTTTAAATTTGGAAGATAACGAATTGCTACTTACAGTTTAATCTACTGTCATCTGGTTTTCTGAGTAGACCCCTTATTAGGATTTTCCCAGTGTATACCTCAGAATGGACCCAAACTGACATTGATATTTGTCAACTTCAGTGAAAAATGTTGAGCTAGCCACAATATTTAATGTTTATTTTGTAGATCCTGTTTCTGAGATACTAATTCTTATTTGTAATAAGTCTTATAAATCAAAGAAAATTTACAACTACTGGAAAATGTTAGATAATTAATGATTTACCATGTTGAAAAAAGAACTTAATATTAAATAACTTATCTTCTTTTAAAGAATTAATGAAATGTAGTCTTGTAAAAGTAGTAAGCTAAAAAAACTCTATCCAAATCTGAGAATTAAATCATTGTACTGATGGCAAGGCCATTAAAATAAAATTTATTAGTTGAGTTTAAATAAATGTAGGCAATGAGGTAATTTTCTTGCTCATATGTTTGAGATAAAAACTAGCTATACCATATTCTTTTCTTAGACTAATTAAAAAGTGAGTTGTTGAATCATTATTATGGCCAATATTAAAGATGAATGACTCAAAATGTCATTCAATATAAATACACTGAATCTTTATCATGTGTCAAATATTGTTCAAGGTAGGAGAGATACAATGATTAAAAGTCCTTGCTCTTATGGAATCTACATTTAGATAAAAGGAGAGAGAGAATGAACAAATATGTCTATACGAGGTGCTGATAATCTCGGGAGTCATAAACATGCAGATGTTGGGTAGCGCTCCGTCACTGGCTAAAACCACTTAGGAAGTTAGGCCTAGTCAAAGCCCTGGACATGTCTGGGAAGGAAGAACAGCTAAAGATACAGAGAAGTGACTAATAATGAACACTGAGATAGGAACTACCCAGCAGGCAAATGAATGTGTTTCTAGGAAGAAAGAGAGATCGGTTCTGTCCAATACTACTATAGGTTATAGGTTAAATAAAATGATATCCAAGAACTGACAGCTGAATTTGGCAAGACAAAAGTCATAGAATGACCTGGTCATAGAATGAGCAGGTTCTGTTGATGCAAACAAAAGCTTGGAAGCAATATGTTGAAGGGAAAATAGGAAGAATAGAAACAGAAAAAGACAGGTTATGCTAATACTCTTTGGACAATTAAATGCTGCTATCTTGTACTCTGAGTAACTAATTTAAAGATAACAATATGCCATGTATTAACCATGGTTATTCTCCTATCATACTGTCTTGGAATTTTGTTTTTTCGTTTCTTTTTCTTTAAAATAAAAAAAGAAACAGTGACTTACACTCACAAAACCATCTTAATCTAACTTAAAAAATTAAAGCAATTCTCATCAGGATGTAGAATATTTTTCACTGTTCTTGAACACAGGCTGGCCTTGTGTCTTGCTTTGACCAACAGAAAATGGCAGATACAGGCTAGGGATATAGCTCAGCGGCACAGCGCCTGTTTGGCAAGCACAAGGTCCTGAATTTGATTCCCAGCACTCCTCCTCCACAAAAAACAACAAAGAAAATGGCAGATATGATGTGTCAGGTTCAACGCTAAGCCTCAAGGATTTCTCAGAATTATGTAACATCCATTCAGAAACATCCAGGTTAGCCTCCTGAATGATGAAACATTTGGCTCAATCATCTTTTTTATCCTGGGCAAGGATGAGTCAAACTTCTAAGACAGAGCTGCCCAGCTATCCTATAGATGACGGTGCCCAAAGGAATTTAGTATCAAGACCAGAAAAACCATTCAGCTGAACCCAGCCTGATCTGCCAACTTACAGAATTGTGAGCAAATAAATAGTGCTCATTATAAACCATAAATTTTGGGGTATGTTATGCAACTGCAGCTCACCAGTGTGATGCCCAAATGAACACTTGTTATTGCCCACCAAACCTGGTTCTGAAGCTTTCATAAATGGAAACAGTATTCTCCCGAACGTCTAAGCAAAAACTCAAACTGCCCTTCTTCTCATTGCTTGTTTAGTGTAAGCAAACCTGAGTGATTACTTTTCTAAATATATTCAGTATTGCATGGTTTATAACCATCTCTGTGGCTACTACTGTGGGCAAGTTACCATAATTTCTTACCTAGATTAATAAAAAAGTCTCCTAAACTGGTGGCCTTGCCTGACCAGTACTTAAAACAGTGCCTGGCATGTGGGTGATACTCAATAAATATGTGCTGATTCAATGGATCTCTGTAACTTACTTGTATTATTCTCATAGTTAGTATGCTCCTTTCACCTCCTTCCACCTCCTTCCCTATATTCTCCTGTGCCTGATTAATTCATATGAATCCTTTTTTATTAAAAATTTGATTAAAATATGAGTTGTACATATTATTGGGGTTCAGTATGATATTTCAATACATGTATATAACATGTGTATGTTCTTTACTTTGTTAGTTCCCATACTGTAGCATAAATTTGGTATTTAATAAATGTAGGTGAATTAATTAAAGAATAAATGACTCATCTGAAGAAAGACAGATGGTAAAGTAAACATTAGCCAAAGAGGAGGTGGGCAAAGAAAGTGAGATATAATGTCAAATCTAATCAGGAGAATGAAATTAAACAAATATACTAGGACACACGGCACTATAAACAACATCAACATTCTCTTTGGTTTGAATTCCTAGAATGAAGTGAAGGGTCATGGAAAAATTGCTGTTGAAGAAGCACATGAACCTGGACCAAAGCTTTCATACCACAGAGAAGATGGATCTGCTCAGCATATATAAATTCAGGACCAGAACTAAAATAAGGATGGGTAGAGATGTTATACCCAAAACTAAGTAAATATATTGGTAATTAGGACAGAAGCTATAGCCCAGTGGTAGTGAACCTATGGCACACGTGTGGCAGTAGGCTGTATTACTGAAAACTCTAAAAGATTTTGCCGTTATTATTACAGGCTCAAGTATATATATATATTTTTACTGACTGAATATTTGAATAAAAGCTGAACTTATTTTCTAAAATCTTTGTTGAAAATCATTACATTATTTTTCTTTAGGAGCTGAAAAAGACTTTAACTTAGCAAGTTAGTATCACAGAGCTAGTTGAAGGGAGAACTAGATTGAATTAAGACAGAACAAAACACAGGTCTCCTTCCTAGGTCAAGCGGTCTAACCACATCTCCACAGCAGGCAACAAACAAACAAACAATGGCAAATGATGCGCTATGATTATAACCCAGGACAGAAATGATCTCTAATTCTTACCAACAAGCCTAGCTTACATGGTGACATTCATTATAAATATCTGAATATAGTCTATTTTGAGGATTATTCTCAAAATCATCAAGTTATGCTGTAAAAATAGACCAGTGAGCAGCCAGGAAATCTCATTTATCTCTTCCTAAATTCCTACCTGCCACTCAGTCCACATTGAGAGCAGACTGCTTTCTCTTGGGCAGTGGCTTTCTACATCTTTCTTGGATAATGAGAGATATTATGAAAAGGCAGTAATAATATCAGCAGAAACATTTATTGGGCTCCTCAATTTATGGATGAACAAGAAAGGGCTCAGACATGTCAAGCTAATTAACCGTTTTGCTGTCAATAGTGCTTTGCTATGTTAGTTATTCTAAATGTAAATAAAAATCCATGCAGATAACGTATGGACTTTTTCTTTCCATTTAACATTTTGTTGGTCCCATTTAAGAATGGGAGATAAATGTATAAAAGAAAAACTCTTACTGCAAGGTAACCTACAACTATCATAGACTCAAAGGACGTAAGTTGTACACTACATGTTTAAAATCTCTGGGAAAATAGTAAACTGCCTTGTTTTATTTTTTTTTGTAGCACAAAAAGGTAACATAGTTTGCTTCTTAGCAGTATTAATAAATAAAATTTTAGTCATCTGGAATAGTTTTTCTGTTGAAATATCTTGCTTAGAAACAAATCAGAATTAGCTATCATATTATCACAATGTAGCTGGCTTTAATTATTAATTTAGAGAATGAAATCCTCTCTTCTTTGAAGATGTACTCTACTACTGAAAAATCTATCATTAGATTGTGAGAAACACACAATCCTACATTGAAAAAGCTATAGTCTTTGCTACCTGTAGTCAATAAATGCTCACTGAATGCCAAGGATGTATAAGGCACTGTCAGCAATGATAGGACATAAAAAAACACTTTCGAAAAGATAATGAAAATATGCAGTATAGCAATTTTTTTAAAAAAAGTATTTTAGGAATATAATATTCTTAAAGCAATCATATATTTTCTCCATAACAGTCCACTAGAATCTTGTTGCCAAAATGCTTACCAATTCCAAAAAAATATGTAACTAATTCTAAAATTAAAAGCTATGGGGGCTGGGGATTTAGCTCAGCGGCAAAAGCGCCTGCCTTGCAAGCACAAGGTCGTGAGTTCGGTTCCCGGTACCGGAGAAAAACCAAAAA